TGTATTTATCCTTAATCCCTTCATGTAAATAAGTGATATGTTATTTCTGATAAATGAACTTCCCATACTACAACACCTACAGCTAAACTTTCTGATATTTAGGAGATTTCTTGAGGTCGACAGAATAATTTCAAAATCTGACAAAGGTAGATGTTAAAATTAAGAGTAATAGTCTGCAGCATACTGATATTATAAGGAAAGCATAGACCAGTATAATTGAAATCAAGTTAACAGCATACATGCACAAATACATAAGTATATAAATATATATTTTTGTATCAACACTAACAAATTAAGACCCAAGAGGTTCATCTTAGAGGGAAGGGGTTTAATACCTAGGTAAACTTCATGCTTACTAGTATCCATCTGCTTAAAACTATAATCTTAACCCCCTTCCCCCTAACCCCCCCCCCCCCCCCCCCCCCCCCCCCGCACACACACAAATACACCTCTAAAATTCAACATTTGGACACTCTCCATATAAATACATGCTTCATTAAAATGAAACCTTTTTTTCTCTCTTTTTTTTTGGTAGTGTGAACAAGCAAAATCTTATGAAGAAACTAAATTCAATCATCAGAAAATACAAACACAATGTATGCAGTAACTTTAGCGTGACTCAGTAATTGAGTGCCAACCCAAACTACATCTTGTATAAGCATATTCCCCTGACCCAAATACTTGCATGGGTGCATTGGGATATCCTTACAAGTAAACAAGATTGGAGTCGTTAAGAAAGAAGGTGCCACATCGTCAACGTGACGTACTGCACACGTTCCCCGGAAGATTGGATGCGCTGGGATTATATATGCTCTATAAATGCACTCCTCCAAAGAGCTCAAAAAAGAGTTACAACTACAAACTTTTCAATCAAGAAATCCTGTTAGAAGCCAACATACAAATTTCATTTTAAAGGGACTAATTAACTGTTGAAAACATACAAAAATCAGTCCATTTCATTATAAGTGATGACATTGGTATGGAATTACATTGTATTCTAAATTTAGAATACATATATTTAGCTGTAGTTTAAGTGTAGGGGTATCAAAGTCTTACTAAATGTATTCTTATTTCAAGTGAACTTTAATGTTTCCTTATGAAACATTAATTTTCTTGAAAACTTTCAGGGATCCCCCCTCCCCCCTTCTCTTAGCCAGAGTAACACAACTAATCACATGACCAAAATATAATATTTAGGGTACTTATATTAGACTGTTTTTGCTTTAATTATAATCCAGTATAACCTTTTAAAAGGCAATTGGGTCACTAGATTTGGCAGTAAATGAAAGAAACTCATTTCATCAAAGAAAGCATTATAATTTTTTTTTTTTAAATATTTTTTTTAAAACTTCTTACTCTAAGAGCAAAACATTTGCAGTCCTCTTCTTTTAGGGGTTTAGGTTTGGTAGGTTCCATCTAAAATCCATTGATTTTAAGAAACTTTTTATTAAAAAAAAAATGAAAAAATGAAAATACAGTTTTCATGAAATTTGTGGGGTTTACATTACACTTCGTTCACAATTAGGTGAACATGCAAAAGAAAATATTTAAGGCTCTTTTGACCCTTTCTAAAAGCACAAATTATTTACTATAATCATTTCTATGACATTATTCTCTTCATGTCTCATGCATTATTCCATACCTAATTAGACAATTATTTGGTTCTCTGGTATGTTGCTTTTAAAGTGTCCAGTTAAGTTTGGTAATAGTGTCTATCATCTCCTCCCCCCCCCAAAAAAAAAAAAAAAATCTTCCCTGTTCTGCATTACTTGAACTGTGCATTAATGCATACCAGTACATGTATATATGGTCAATACTTGGAGTGAAAGAGAAAAAAACAAAAACAGATAGAATTTCAGGCAGAAGGACTAATTCATTATCTGAAAAAATGGTGTTAATTTTCAAAACAAACAATGGGAGAGGGGACATACACTTTGCTTTAGAGAGAGGCTGAATGTCCGTCCTTCCTTAGTCCCCAATGAAAACAAAACTAATACAAATGTGTTTTCACCCTACATTCTTGAACCTGATTCTTCTTCTCATCTTGTTTGAATGCACTGTTGATGGATGGCCCATTGTAATTATCACATCCCTCCCGGCGACGGCAACGTCACATACAGAGAATGTGCAAGGTTACATAAGGAAAACCCTATCACAGCCCACATATACACGCCTCTCAACAAAACTGCTACAGAAGTAAAGCAAGATAGAATGAAGAGTGTATGACTAACTGTAATTCTAGAGGAAGTTGTTTGATTAAAAGGAAATCCAACCTTGATAGCAAACTTCTCTAGAAGAGAGCAGAAAAATCAGAGAATACGCATACCAGTGAATGTTTGAATGAATAGGACAAAAAATGAGAGAGTTAAGGATTTTGAAAGTTGCAAGCACTATAGGTATGGCCTCTTCCAAGTGGCTGAATCAATAATGTCTCTTTCATGTAGTGGCGGACAACTTTCCCACTGGTTCCAACACACAAAACACAAAGACATATATGATCAATCAATTACAGTGAACCTGCTTTAGTGACCACATGTATTTTTTTTACCCCCTTGAGGCAAAGATTCTAATTGAAATACGTATACAAAGGGAACCCTCGTGTAAAAAACACTTTTGTGTCTTCTACGAGTGGTCATTCTATAGAGGCTTGACTGTATTCTGTATGCTCACGAATCGGGACAGGACGAGACTCTGTATTAGGTGAGGACTACCCCCAATTTGGGTCAAGGCCAAATAGGCTGCCCTTCTGCAGCCACGGGCGGGGTAGATGACGCATTATTGGCAAGAGACTGAAACTTTAGCTGCCTATCACCATGGCAACCGGAGGGTGGTTTTGTTAAACAGAGCGGACGGAGGCAGACACTGACAACAGGAGGCACTGGCTGGCTGGCATGAACTCTCTTACACTTTTCAGTAGGGAATGAGAAAACATGTTTCATACAGTACGTGTTGAATCATTCTCGTTCAAGAAGGTTCATCGGAAAATCGACATGTGATGGGGCTATTCAGGTTAAAATTACCTACGGGTGCTATTAGAATGAATCGTAGAAGTTAGTTATTTCTTCAGCTAAAAAAAAAGATCTCATTGCTAATATGTTATAGTAATTAGAATTTGAAATAATCATTCAATGAACACATTTAATTTTGGCATTAGTATGAAGGTACATGTCAGAGAAAGGAGACCCAGTCTAAGCCTCAACTAGTAAAGTTTGAACATTTAAAGTCACTGATTTCCCAAAATCTATAACTTACAATCTTTGTTTTGCAAACCAGTAATTGCCATATTCAAAGTGGCAAAGTTTGCTTTCTTTAAAAGTTTTGGACAGATATAACAAGGACAAATCACTATAATTAACAGATCTTGTATTATCAGACAACCTAAATGAAATACAAGTGAAAGCAAATGACCAGCTTCTGCTATGAAACACTTTTGTGTATTTCATTAGAAGTTGTTGATAAGTTAATTTGGATTATATTGATAAGTATTACTGTAAGTCAAAATATAGGACTTATTTCCATTGAAAAAGAGTCTTTACGCAGATTTATTCTGTGTAAATTCAGATGTGTACATTTTCAAATCATCCCATTAGATACAATAAATTGGGGACAAAAAGTTAGATATCAAAATGAAATTTTTTAAAGAATGCTTTATTTGCGAAAGAAAGAACATCAAAGGGCAAAAAAAGGCAAAACAAAAAAGCTTGCTAAGCCCTATCAAATCTACAAGCTGCACACTGTAATTGATTAGAGAAAATATCCTCCTTACAAAACAACAAAACAAAGGTATCCAAGTGCAGGGTTCGCTTTGGATGACGGCACATAATAACGCCTACAAGTACGTCAGCAGTCTGATCCTTGCTTACATCATCATTAATTGGTGGCAAAAAGCCAGAAAAGAATGCAAATAAGAAGACCTTTAACTTTACAAGAAGAAGTCATAAAAATGTAATCTATATTAAAACCACAAAATTCAGATTTGCACATTTTGACTCATTTAATTCAATCCATATTTATATCATTAGGGTGGGTCTCTCTCTTTTCTCACCTGAACAAAAAAAGTTTTCTTGACTATATCCCACATTTCACAACATTAACCTTTTTAATTTAATCTATATTTTTCAATACCCTTTGCTATTTAATACCCACTTGCCCATTGACAGCACTTGCCAAAGTAGCTTTAAAAAACTATTTGTAAAAAGTAAATACTTCATTTTTATTTTTTAATATCTTAAAATTATGTGTGACTAATTTGCCAGTTAATTCCAGTTTAGCATTACTTGTCCATCAATCTATACAATTAGGTAGCTCCGGACAAGCCGGAAAGTTTGTTTCCATTACTTTGTAGGTCATAGTCTTCGCCCTGTTACTGAGTGTCTGGATACACTAGCCTACATGTATGGTTTGATCACTGTTACACAGACTCAGCTTTTGAAAAATGAGTTTTCATGAGTCATCTTTGACACAAAATCTCTCTTTTCCTGTTTTTCTGTATGCATGGTGGTCAAACCCCATCTACCTAAAGGGGGAAGCTGCAATTTGTAAAAGCCCACGACTGGTGATGTTTGTTTATTGTTTTTTCCTGTGATGGTTAAAGATCGCTCTCAATTTATCAGCAGCATTGAATGTGCCAGATAAACTATACGTCATCACTGTTACACAATATCCCACTTTATACACTGTTTTACTACAAACTGATAATTATATTATTACCTTTTTCGACTTTATGAATCATTTATGAATGCGGGCGAGACCAAAAAACGAATGTGTGGGGTGGGTCAAAATGAAGATTTAAAATTAATGGAGAAAACCTGCACTTATTATCTGTTTTGAGTAATATTTACTAGCTCTCTGGAACCTACATGCTTTAATAGTAAGCAAACTTTTGAACAAGTTCATGCACAACTCAACTACAAGAGGTGACTTTGCAAAAAGATATTTTGCATGTCATCAATATAATTCAGTTATGAAATTATGAAGAAAAAAACAAGGAAGAAACTTACTTGTTGGCCACAGTGTGTACAGCTGATACCGATGAAGATCCTGCTCTATGCTCAAGCCCAACAGCACACTGCAGATAAATCAAATAAAAGTACATTCAATTCTGAAGGGATAAAAACCATCTAGAATGCTCATTTATAAGGATTGAACAAACAAACAAATAATATTCTTCTCTATATTTGAGGTTTCAGATATGGAACTCTCCTCATCTCTCTCCCTCTCCATTTTCTCTGTCTCTTATACTTTTTAAATCTCTTTTTCTACATGTAAGTTCACTTTCAAAACTAGATGGAATTCGACTGCACGCAGTCGAAAATGATGCCTCCGTCATAGAGCAATTTTACAAACCAAAACAGAACACATTTTTCGAATTCAAGTTCAATTGTAATCCATTAACAGGTTCTCAGAATATCGTGATTACAAGCAATTTCTCATATGACCCTTTGATCTTTGACCTGATGACCCTAAAATCTACTCAGTTCATTGGCTCTGCAAGATGTCCTGAGTTAAATAGTAATCCATCTGTCAGTTCTAATGAGAATGCGTTCACAAGTTATTTTTGGATACATAATGAGCCCATGACCTTTGACCTCATGACCCATGAATCTACTCAGTTCATTGGCTCTGCAAGATACATACATGATCGAAATTTGGCAGGAATCAATCAATCTGTTCTAATGAGATCACAAGCTATTTTTGCATACATAATGAGCCCTGTGACCTTTGACCTTTGACCTCGTGACCCCAAAATCTATTCAGTTCATCGGCTCTGCAAGGTACATACATGATCAAAGTTTGGCAGGAATCCATCGATCGGTTCTTGAGATAATGCGATCACGAGCTCTTTTTGCATACCTAATGAGCCCTGTGACCTGTGACCTTTGACCTTGTGACCCCAAAATCTAATCAGTTCATCGGCTCTGCAAGATACATACAAGACCAAAGTTTGGCAGGAATCCATCAATCGGTTCTTCAGATAACGCGATCACGAGCTGTTTTTGCATACATAATGAGCCCTGTGACCTTTGACCTTTGACCTCGTGACCCCAAAATCTAATCAGTTCATCGGCTCTGCAAGTAACATACATGACCAAAGTTTGGCAGGAATCCATCAATCGGTTCTTCAGATAACGCGATCACGAGAACGGGACGTACGGACGGACGGACGGACGTACGGACGTACGGACGTACGGACGTACGGACGGACGGACGGACAACCCGAAAACATAATGCCTCCGGCTACTTCGTAACGGAGGCATAAAAATAATAAATACATCTTTTTCCATTATTTATATTCACAACATCAGAAGAAACTACTGTATTTTGCGGAATTTTCATCTGTTAAATAATTCAAGATCTTTTCCCTGTGTTTTTTCTACTTCCTTTAATATGCATGATTTACCGAAGAAAATACTTTAAAGCAGGGATTAGACTGAGGAAAATCTTCTTTCTCAGAAAATTTGATGACAGAATCATCACCTATCATAGTGAAATATCAAGACTATCTAGGAATAAAGCTTGGTATGTGAGTGAGATCAGATTGACGTCTAGAGGAAGTCTTTACTCTGGATCTTTACCACTCAGAGGCCAGAGCTGGGTCCACAGCCTACACCGTACGTCATGCACAGAGGGAGTACCCTAGTCTGAGTCATATACTACAGTTTGTAGACCCCCTATGTATTAGTATTTAGTAAGAAAAGCTTGTCTGCAGCAATGTTGCATCTTCGTTGTTAGGATAGTTCACATGTAGCTGCATTATATATTCTATGTTTAGTTTACTCATACTTTGTTCAAGTTTTTCCATCATTCAAAATAAAAAAATTCCCCATTTTTCTATCATTTCTATTTGTCTTCTTTCAATTGTTTTTGTTTTCTAGATGCTTATGCCTAGACTTAAGAATGCCTAGCACATTAGATAGCCTGTTGTTTGGTATATTTTTAAAGGGCATATATATTTTGTATAGAAAAGATCATACATCATCAGTTGAGAACCAAAAGGGCATTCAAACTGTGTAAAATTGTATTGAGGTAATACACCCTTCTGGCTCTTAACAATTTCTTCACCATAAGTTCGTTAACCCCTTCCCTCCTAGCCCACATCTAACCAGACTGCCGATAGGTGAAGGTCATGCCATCGACACCAAAGTGCATGATACAGGTTTCTGTCTGTCTGACTGCCAATACACCAATGCACTGCTCACAACAGTTGCCTAATATGCGTGGTGCAGTCTCAAAACACACATGTTCATTCACCTGTTATTAATTGGCTGGCATAACATATGAATTCACACCAACTAGCAAAATGATGCAATAACAAGATAATAACCTAATTTAATATCTTAACAGAATGATGCATGTGTTCCTTAGTGGGGAAAAACATACTTGGATGTTCAAGTACATTAAAAGTTCAAAATTTGGATGTGAGTTGTAAAAATTGGCTGACTTGTGCAATAACAGGATAACAGGTACCATGTGCCAAACTATGAAACTGGGATGGTATGGAGGTGGTGGTGGCAATGGAATTGGGTAATATTACTATACCAATCATGCAACTCGCACAAGGAAAATTATCATCATGTTTTCAGGTGATGCAAACATCAATCACTGCAAAAACTAGAAAGGAAATGGAATGGTATTGAAAAAAATCCTCTGAAAAAAATACAGCAATGCAAACAAACCAATAAATCTCATGAGACAAAACATGACACATTGGCAACTGCGGCAAGACATGAAATGACAATTGTTTTGGGTCTCTATGCTATCCTCCCAGCTTGTTATGACTGCAACAGCCAAGGGCACATCCTAACATTTTGCTAATTTGTCATCACTGAGAATTAGTTTGGAGGAGAAGGGAAAAAGCATGTCATAACTTGTGTCACGTGAACTATGAATGAACTTTCACTGCAGGAACTAATGTGCTCTACTTGCGTGACAGAAGTTGGTTACAAAATGTACAGCTTTGATTTACAAATAAGTGTGTTGTTTATTCAGGGTATTGTTTTATTCAGGGTGTTGTTTTATTCAGGGTGTTGTTTTATTCAGGGTGTTGTTTTATTCAGGGTGTTATTTATTCAAGGTGTTGTTCAGGCTTGGGCTCAAGCAGCCCCCCCCCCCAATCAGCTTTTGACTTATAGACATAATTTATAATATTGGCATATGATATGAAACAAACACCAAACTCCCCAATATACGAGTCCTCCCACACTGCACCAAATGTACATAGAGTTTCCGAAAGGCAACAGGTTGCCAAAATCATAATAGTTTGGACTTGAATTTGGAATAATTAAATTTCCTGTTGCTTTCACTGGTTGGAATGTTTTTTGTAGGTGCTTCCCATAGGAATGTCTTTCCGATCACGGATCAGATAAAGCGGATCAAATGAAAGTTGACGTGGTCAAAAGGGAAACTCCCTTGCATGTCTCTGCAGACATTACACATTTGACCTCATAAAACTGACCTGGTAAAGGAAACAAACAACCTGTTGCACACAGAGGGCAAAAATGCAAGATTAAACAGCAAATCTGTCAAAAATCAAGCCACTACATTACTATCAAAAATAGTTTTTGATTGGATTTTACTAGGGTTAAGGTTTTTTTTGCAAGGAAAACTGTACTTATGTAACAGTTTCCATATTATTAAAAAAATATATATTACAAAAGCTATTTGGGATAATTTGTTGAGCTGTGTTTTTGTTAACTTGGTTGTGGAAAAACAGGAATGAGATAACTAAAATGATTATGGCATTTTTTGAAAAAAGTTTTGATCATATACCCACACAAAACATACATAAATAGTGCAGGGAGAAGTGGAAGTAATAACAAGTAAATGGTCTGGGGTGACAAGAATATACATGTATGTGCAGGGCTCAATACTAGTGGATTCAGAACACTAGGGCTCTGTTTCATAAAACTTGTTATATCCCTCATGTAGTTGTTTGCATTGCGATTGTACAGAGCACGAAAAAGGTATAGACAGGTACTATCTACCTGAGAGATCGAGATAGTACTTATTGTAAAGTAATTTTTTGCTGCTACCCTTGCCCATTGAATACGCATAGCAAAGTAGGTTACACGAAATGTCAAAGTCAATGTCAATGTCAAATGAGCGCGCATCGACTTACATGTATGCATGTTGCGCTTTGTAAAATCTAGCTGAAGCTAAACTGTCTGCAGAATCCGTTCTTATTATTATGTAAAATTCACTTTAGATAGACCTTATTGCCGATGTGGGATATAAAACAAATATTAACCTCCTTTACTCTGGCAATGGATACAAACTATCATCGCCTCGGTGATCTTGGGGCCCCGAGATCACCTCGGCGATGATAGTTTGCACCATTACCCTCGTAGTCGATTAATATTTGCTTATTATCAATAACAAGTTACAGTAATTGTTATAAGCTACTGAAATCATTGCATTTGATTGGCTGAGAGAAAATTTGATTTGTTATTGATAACAAGTTTTATAAAACAGGGCCTACATTCCTGTAATGTCATGATTTAACTCACCCTTGTCTCTACATCCGTCCATTCCCCGCTGTACTCGGCTGGATCATCCTCCACCCTTCGCTTGCTCCTACCGAGGGTAGAGGACAGGGGGTCTTCAGACCTCAGCTTCTCCACATCGGTGAACTGTACGGCACGTCCACCTCCCCTGGTGGGTATCACGTCAGCCTGAGGGTTAAACAGAGTGCATAACAACATGAAACATGATATACTATGTTTCCTCGTGAAGCAAAATATACAACATAGATAAAACTAAATGTCAAGCAAGTGGAGTGTTAAGATAAAATGCAAAATCCAAAAACACTTTCACCATCATGGTGTGATCCCGACATGGCACTAATGTCCTTTGGCAAGGCATATATCTTCATTTGTTACACTCGACCTAGGTCGGGGTAATTATTAATACGCCTCGGTTTAGAATTTCTAGATAGACGCGCTATAGAAATGCCTATCATTATTATCTAATTGCTGTCATTTTGTCTAGCATCAGAAAGAGGGATGAAACAAAGGCAATACAGACATGTCCATTTTCAAATAATTCAGGATGTGCAAGAAAGGCATACTTTGTGCCATATTAACATGTGTCATTATCTATTAGCTGCATGTAAGACCTGCAGAGACAACGGAAGAGTTCCAACCACAAATTAACTTGCATTAGGAATACTTATTTATGATGGATATGTATATATATATATATATATATATATATATAAAACCCTACATGGTACATTAGGCGGACATCATAAAAATCCTAACCCTAACCCTAACCCTAACCCTAAAACCTAACCCTAAACCTAACCCTAATGTCTACTTAATGACTCATTTTTTCACTCCCAATGTCCTTCCAATGACACCTTTAGTAAAATTACATATATAGAGAGAGATATATAACAAAATTGGGCCTTCCACGAGAAATAAAACGTAAAAAACGTTAAGAGGACACCATATTGTCCTTCTAATGACAATGTCTACTTAATGACTCATTTTTTCACTCCAAATGTCCCTCTAATAACGCCTTTAGTAAAATATATATATATATATATATACACTTTATGGATTGAGTTGCATTCTGCATTTGACAGACCAACTCTCGGCACACAACATTAATCAGACAATGGTCAGGGTCACATGACCTTATGATGCCTCGTTCATACAAGACGTGGTAAACGGCATGAAAGGTACATGCAGGCAACATAGGTCCCAGAGTATACTAATGTAAAGTACTTGATGTGCAATGTTACCATGTCCAGGGGTGATATTGGTTTTTTTCTTTCTTTCTCAACTGCCCCCCCCCCCCCCTTGAATAAATTTTTTTTAAAGGATTTGGGGGAAGAAGAAAAAAATGTCATTTAAAACATTCCCCCTCTTTTGAGTAAGAAAACTGGGAAAAAATTAGGAAAATTAGGAAAAATAAGGGAAAAATCAGGAAGAAAAACAATAGTTGGGAAACTGATTTAAATCTAGTCATTATCAGGTCTGCATGTCGCATGTGGACGGGGCTTTACCTCTGCATATGGTTTTGGATACATCACTGGTAGACACCACTGCTCCAGCTTACCTTGTAAATCTTGGTCTCTAGTTCCCCAGCAGAATCTTCCTCTTGGTGAGTCAACATGTAGTTATCTGTCTTCCTGATATCCTTCATAGATGGGTTGGAAACCCGCTTGGCATTCTTGGATTTGTTGGGCTGCAGGACAGTTTCTGACAAATCAAACAAGAAACAGATACACATTTTAACTTTCTTTCATCTCCAGTTTACTAAGTACTTTAACACTTTTTCTGTTTCTATTTCTGTTTTTTAAAATCTTATCTCTAATTTCATTTTACAGAGCTCAACTTCTTGTATTTCCTTTTTTTCCACCTAAGAACAAAATGGATCAGTATTTCAAGTATAGACCAGACAATATATATATATGCAACTCTATAGAAAATAGAAAGACACTTTCCCAGTGTTCAATAAGAAGACAAAAATTTATAAATAAAGATTTTCTCTTGACAAAAAATAATACACAAATGTATGTTTTATTATTCAAAGTGTGCACTCATGACAATTAAGAGATTAGAGCTGTTGGCCTGATGAAACTGTAACAGCTGCCTGACTTATTTTTAGGGGTTGCACTTCAATACTTTCTCTGAAGTGGTTTAATAATTCACTGTCCTGTTCATTTGCTTGTAATCGGTGTCCATCTTCCTAGCAATATATCCTTTATATACACATCAACTCGCTTCCTCTACCTACCTGTGTTTAGAGTCTCCGTCGGTTGGTGATCGATCCAGACGCTGTTGGAGGCGGAGCGTGATCGACGATGTCGAAGCCTGACCGGCGGCGGGTTGTTCTTCCTCTGTGCCGGCGGTGACCTGGAGCGGTTGAAGCTCTCTACCAGCACCTCCTTGGCTGCTTTCTTAGCGCTCTCCTCCTCCTCGTGGCCCTGGACGATCTGCTTCAGCTGACGAAGCTTCTCCTCTCTCACCCACATCTCCGTCTGCAGCTTGAGCTCCGTCTGACGAACCCTCTTGTTCTGAATAATAATAAAAATAATACATCATATTTATGAAGCGCTTAATACTAATGTTTCTAAGTGCAAGAAAAAGAACAAAGGAAAAGGAAGGAAAAGTGAGACATACCAAAGAAACATGTTAAAAATAATGAATTACAAGTAAACGGCAAAGAAGAATATGACATTAGACAAAATAATGACTACATCAGTATTAATTAAGATTATAGATAAACAAGATATGGACTCAGATTTATAATATACGATGTGAAATGTGCAAATGCAACTTACAATAACCTTGTGTATAAATTATTATATTAAATATTGAATGTATCAAAATCAGATGTTGTTCTGAGCATATATCTCATTTTAATTCTGTATTTTTACTTTTGTTAAACAGAAAGTACTTCCAGCTTTTTCAGCATAGAAGCATCCTTAGCTTAGAAATTGTAGCATTAATGAAATATAGAAAAGACATATAAGGGTTTTATCCAATAAAAGGAGGTGGAGTAAGTCATTGGTTTTCAGGAGGGTGCAGGTTACCAACCAAAAACAGGTTCCATCACTGGCAAAATCAGCCATCAGTACATAAATATATTTACGAATTGGAAGGACTACATCTGTAACATATGCGATTTCACCCGATGGATTCTCTAGGTTTTAGGAGAGCACAATCTTTAATTCTTTATATATATTGCTGCTCAAATCATCTGTCAAAGATACTATTTTATCCCTGGCCCTACATTGAATCTTGACTTCCAAACAAGGTTTACTCACACATTCCTTCTCCCACTTGTCCCTCTGATTGGTGACGGCTCCCTTGAGGGCTTGCTTGAGACGAGCTCTCTCCTGGGTTTCCATCTGAATCATCTTCTCCTTTTCGGAAAGCTGCAATGCACGACAATAGAAAGAGAGTAGATGTATGAGAGGATGATACCAAAGTCATAATAATAGACCTCCTACTAACATGTACGAACAACAAATCTACGGAGCAGAATCATCTCTTAAAATAAAATACACATGTATATATATATTTGTTTTAATTATTATCATCAATATCATTATTACAATGTAAATATTTGGCATTTCCTGGCAAACAAACATCATCACTTAGACCCTAACGGTCTCTCTATGTGATCAGTGACTTGAGAACATTTGTGACATGGGTTACATTTTGTTTTAAATGATCACTATTCATTTTATCATAGCATGCTAGTGTAGCAAATATTACTAGGCTGACATTAGGTTAGTGTCAATTGTTTAGATTCTATTTTGTAATTAAGAGCAAAGCACTAGCTTGGGGTGCCAAGATGGTAGGAAGTACTTTGAACACAATCAAAATATAAATGAGGAATTTCCAATACCTATCAACAAATTTTTTGGTCTACATACAATGAATAGAGTGAAACAATATTCTTTCACCATCTCCCAGGGCAAATACTATGATTGTAACATTCAGACCTTCATTTCTAAGGAGCGCGATCGCGCCGGCGCTCCTACAGCGCTCCTAAAAAATAATCAGGAGAGTTGTTTACAGCGCTCCTTGCAACGAAAAAAATACACGGTGGCGACGGGCGATTCGCCCCCTAAACCTCTGAAATCACCACAGTAAAATTCAAGACGAGGGCGAAAAAAATCGATATATAATGAAAAATCGCCCCCGCCATAAATTGATATTCCTTAGGAATTAGTAAATTAATTTATTGATGTGTCTGAGTGAAATCTCCATTCCAACTACCAACTCCCAAACTAGAAACTTCCATCAACATTTTAAAAGTTTTGTGGTTGAATCGGATCGGCGGTCGTACCTAGATCTACACACAGCGCGCTAGCGGTATCCGCCTAAGCTCCTGGGCGCCCAGGCCCCCGATGGAAATACAGAGTACATATCGTGCACATGCATACGCAGTTCGCACACATTCACGACACAAAAAGTAGCTCAGCTCCAGCGGCGCGCACGCTCCTAGTATGAAGCAAAGAAGTATTTGCGAGTGACGAGTGCTGAACTGCTAGCGACCAAATTGGTACGTAATATGTTTATTTTGTTTTTTTTTTGACCCAAATTTTTATCATGGACAATGTAATCCCATTAAAAAAAATGTTACTCCGTCTAAAATTGTGTTATTTATAACTTAAAACCATTAAATGCGAGTATATTTTTACTGTTGTCCCACATACAGATATATTTGTTATAACGAAACGTGCAAAATCAATGCCGGATTTTTTCCCTATAAAATCGGTATAAAGCTAGTTTCGTAGACAGAAATTGAATTTTGTTATAAAAAAACCGTAAATAAATATATAATAGATGTTCGTATACCTCTGAATTTTTCTTACAACTGTTAAATTAAATTATATTATTTATTTACTATGCCAGGCACATTGTCATTGATGCCTGAGTACGAGTGATGGTATCAATTTCAGTCTACGAAATTAAACTAGCTTTGGCTTGGCCTTTGGCTTTAGAAATAGAGTCTATACGTGAAAAAAAAATATGGCCATGATTTTGCATGTTTCGTTATAACAAATACATGGGTATGTGGGACAACAGTAAAAATATTCATTCACATTTAATGGTTTTAAGTTATAAATAACACAATTTTAAACGGAGTTACATTTTTTTAAAAATGGGATCGCATTGTCCATGCTAACAATTAGGGACAGAAAAAAAACAACTAAATAACATATTACCTACCAATTTGGTTGCTAGAATTATGATGGCTAAAGAAAAACACAACTTATCGTTACAGCTTACAATTTGGCTTTAAGAAAGTAGCCCCCTTTTTTCAATAGTAGCCCCCACTTTTCTTAAAGTAGCCCCTTGTTTTTTTTTATGCAATGGGGTAAAGTAGCCCCCATAAAAAAAATTAAATCTTGGCCTGCGTGTCAGTGATAATATTTTCTTACAATATAAAAAAAGAACAGTTGAACAAAACTCTCCTTTCGACAAGTTTTAGTTACATGTACGTATAGATCTAAGCCACACGTTTAGCACAAAGTGAATAAATCATGGGTATCTGAATATGTCTGCAATACTCTACATGACATATGTACGTTACAACTGTATGTATATTTGCCTTTGCTTGGAATTTAAGTAGGTAAAACCATGTTTTTAAAAATACAACCTTAAAAAAAAAGCCCCCCTGAGCTCCAAAATAGCCACCGCAAAATAATTAAATAAATTGAAGAGTTAAATATTTCGTTCGTCGTTTAAATTGTTTGACATTGTTTAACGTTGTTCCAAAAACTGAACTGTTAATTTACAGGGTGACTGTGAGGCAGACTGAAGTTACTTAAGTTGAACATGAATGGTAATAACCAGCAGTATAATCACCTCCTCAAAATTAAGATGAAATAATTGACCTCTAAGTCTAAGCTAAAGTAGAGTGGACCAAGCAAACTGAGTTGCAAATTCAGTTGATTATGATGATGATAATTGAGTGTACTGCAGTAACTTGAAACTTCAATAAATGAAACAACACGGTTGTCAGTCAGTTAACACTTGTTTGATATGTATTTTATTACAGCATTTTGAACCCACACACAATAATACAAGGTAAAAACATCAATTTTCAAATTGAGCTCCTCACTCTTTCCAGGAGAGTTATTTGAGGAGCTCAATTTGAGCTCCTTGGCAAAACAAGGAGTGGGATTAATAGAGCTCCACCAAATTCTAGAAATGAAGGTCTGTAACATACTCCACAGCTAGCACGTTTTCCCACATTCTTACCTCTGATGCCATGTCCCGTTTGTCTTTCTCATACATGTTGTGGGTGCGTTGCAGCACGACGTTGTCCTGTTCCAGGGACCTGATTCGCTTCTCCATCCGATCGCACTCCCGGGTCTTGGAGCTCAGCTTGGCCGTCAGGTCGGTGTTGGCGGTGCGTAGGTGATCTAGCTCGTGGTCCGATTCCACCAGCATGGCCCTGAAGGCACCCTCTGTGAATGCAATGTGATGATTTGGGAATGGGAAAGGAGTAAGACTTAGTTAGCTAGACATGTCACACTTAAACATTGTGCAGTATCTAAATAGTCAACAGACTCTATCTTGAAATAATATTGCTAGTGACATTCGTTTGTCTCGCAATGTATGGTCAACAAGGGATCTAAAAGATCACGACGTTTCGTGCGCCGCTGCAACGTTTCGTCAGGTCATAAAATATAATGTAAGGAAGCCTGTTTTGTACTCTACGGGTGGACCGGCGGTCAAATAATTTGATCAATAATTAGAACTAGACTTTATCTTACTTGCCACACTCAAATGCTGGAAGAAAGTGCATGAAGATACTAAATTTTACCTTTGAGAAAAGTTCAGAAGAAAATAGTTATTAAGAGATTCTGCTATAATCATCCTAACAAACAAATTCACTGAACGTACTTAATTATCTGAATTTAGAGAATTCAACTATTTTTTTTTAGTTGAAGTATTATTGGGACTATAATGACAAATTCTACCCTACAAGATATATACTTTGATTAAACTCTAGATTGGTTATTTTTTAAATTCTAAACAGCCATTTTCAATTATTTTTTGCAGGATTTGTATGTTAAAGTTAGTAAATCAATTCAACATCCGCCCCCTGTCTATGAATAAGAAAGGATGTCTTACGTTTTCTGGCAAGTTCATCTTCCATGATTCTTCTTCTCTTTTCTCTCTCTGCCAGGAATGCCAAGAGGTGGGGCAAGGTTTCCTCATCACATGGATCGGAAAGCTGTAATACGAGAAATAAATCAGGTTAGAAAACTAGTTTGTAATCAAATTTTGCAAAAGTTTTATTGATAATTTTTTTAATAAAAAATGGGTTCACATTTTTGAAGAAAAAAACTTTTAGAGTTAATCTTATTCAGAATTAGTATCACAATGCCACAAACTCCATCATCGAATGGGGTTATCTAAAAATCCTCTCCTTGAAATGGTCGGTATTCCACAAAATTGACACCCAATGCTGGGTTTAAGCTCAGTCTACAGTCGACTTATAACAAAGGAGGTTGGACCTAAATTGTCCCTTTAGTATATGTGATTTATGATATGTGATACCAAGCATTGGTTGGGTTTAACTGAATCAGCAGAATGTTGGGAATATGAACTATTGTATATTCTGCAGGTTATATTCTTTTATGTAAGAGAATCATCAATATACATTGTGTATCCCAATGATTTATGAGAGCACTTGTAAGTAGAAATAAAATAATATTCACAAAAACAATCAAACAAACCTGTAAGAGTGGGAACGGGGGTCCAAGGGTGAGAAGGGGCGGTGGAGGAGGTGGCATGTCATAACCATTCTCTTCAAGAAGTTTCTTGTATTCTTCATTAGCTGAAAGAAAAGGTAAGGATCAAGATTAGAAAACATACAATCCGAGTGATATACTCAACAATATAAAAATAGATGTATCACTCTTTTTATCAAAAGAGTGTAACATTCTTTTTATATAAACATTTTCTACATCTCACAACAATAAATGAACATTTGTGTTATATGCACATAGATCACTCCTAACATTTTTCCGGAATAATGTATTCCTCGTCTGCAACCAGATTGAGCCACCATCTTTAGTTTAAGCTACCCCCCCCCCCCACCCCACAACCTGCTCAATACATAATTAGTTGGGAACTCAGATGGAAAAATGAAAATCTTATGCAATTCTTTGGATTTTTATTTAAGAAAAATAAGCAATAGATCATTCAGAATTGACAATATTTCTGCAGATCTTGGACGGTTGTACTAACTCACCCTTTCTTCTGCCTGGAGTGAGACCAATGTCAAACCTGATCTCCGTGGGTCTAGCTACTTGTACCTCCTGTGTGATCTCAGCAAACCTCATCACATGCTGTCAGTCATGAGCAAGAAGGGTGAGAAAATGAGTGAAAGATCAAAGCTACTGTACTGGGGCCTGTTTCATAAAACTTGTTATCTATAACAAGTGCTAAATTTCTATGACAAATTTGCTCTCAGCCAATCAGATGCCATGATTTCAGTAGCTTATAACAGTAGCTTGTAACTTGTTATTGATATCAAGTTTTATGAAACAGGGTCCAGAACCTGGGGGTGTTTCACAAAGACTAAGATTGACTTTAAGTTGGACTTAACTATGACAGGCCATTCATGCCACAAGTTCCTCTAACCATTCCTGGCATTGGTTTCTAAAGGAACATACAAAACGTGGTCACAAATCTACAGAAAGGAAAAAATATTATCTAAAGATCATAATTGAGAGATCGATGGTGATAGCAACCAGTGGCATGAACAGCCTGTCATAGTTAAGGAAAACTTAAAGTCAATCTTAGTCTTTGTGAAACACTCCCCTGGTACCATTTTTATTTGAGGATCTTATACAGCATGAGATGAATCAGGTACCCTACATTCTGGTATTCATGCTGGAAAGACTATCATTAATGATACTCCAGCTTGCAACAGAACTCTTGTTAAACCTTAGGAAGGGTGGTTCCTTGTCTGTTGAGTGGGACATTCACACGTTTGTTTTGCCTACTGACTGCAAATAATGGATGGTATAATGTTCTGGTTTGACTATGCAGAGATGCCAGAATATATACTTTCATTTTACTGACATTTTACTAATTTTAACATATTACCTCAATATTGTAGTACCTAGTGCCACGTACAGATTGATGGTGGTGATGACGATCAGACAAGTATGTAACAGCTAGGGTCTAAAAACAGTGATTTTAAATGACACAACTTAAAGTAGCCATGTGGAAGAAAATGTATTCAACCGATTATAGAATTTTACCACTGCCAATACTTACAGTGGTCTCATCGAAATCCTTGGCACTAGGGTTGACATTCACCACCATCCGAACTTTACCCTCACCATCAAAGTAATTCTTGAAGAGATGGGTTAGCTTGGAAGTTCTGTATGGGACCATCTGTAGAGTAAATAGAAAAAACAAAGATACAGGTAAACTCAATAATGCAATTACAGTGTAGTTGTGAGGATATCATGATGTTCACGTCACAATATATGTACAGTTCTTTCAGATAACCAATACCAGTGAAGAAAAGACAACCTTAGATAAATCTGATATAACTCAGACCTGCCAAACCTCTGGAGTTCAAAAACTGTATTCTTTAATCCCAAAAGTTGTATTTTACTGACAAAAGTTGTATTCTCAAAAATAAACACAGACTGTTACGCGGATCAATGCCTCTTTCAGTTCCTACAGACAGGAATAATTTTTTTATGGATCATTGGTTGAATATGCATGATTTCGTCACGACTGGTGTTTTTGATGAAGCAATGAACATCCCAAAATTGCCGATGTGAGATGCTTGTAGGATACTAAACAGGACAAAAAGGGCATTTTACCATTGAAAATGGCACACACACACTAAAAAAAAAAATTTAAAAAAATTGTACTGTCGTATTTGCTTCTAAAAATCGTACGAAATACGACTAAATCGTACTGGTTGGCAGGTCTGATAACTGATTATAATAGCACTTGAAAGAAGATATTCAGTATGTAATAGTAGATATAATAGATTATCTACCAACATAACAACCTTAAAAATACTGGAATGGAATACTCTACATGTTGGAAGGTTGATATAATCAAGTATTTCCAATTACATCAATACATATTTAGATATGTGGATAACAATAATGTCTTGATCGACATTGACAAGAAGTGAATTCTCCTGACAAACAAGAATTACTTGTGCTTGCAAATATTTTGTGGGCTCCTAAGATCCAATTTGCAGCTAAAAGTCAATATGGAATGAATGAATAGAAAGCAATATTCCTAATTTTAATGATTTGAACTCTCATGATATGGACGGGATTACAAAAACAAGCCAACACTGATAGTTTATGAAATGTCAAACTTGAATGCATCTCACTTTCTAGTACATACAGCCCTACTGGGATCACACAGATTCTGACTGTTTTGTTTATCTGAGAGGTTTTGAACTGACTGACCTTGTTGGATCCTTCTGTCTGGTTTTCTCTCAGTGTCTCAATACATGTCCTGAGTGTCATGAGAGAGGCATTGATGCTTCCAGCTTCTTTCAGTCTGTCTCCTGTGTTGTTGGTTCGGTGTGTCCTTTCACTTCCAGCTAGATCGACCAGGGACAGCTGACTGATAGCAATCTGGTCCTTGTCCTATGGTACACAAAATAAGACATAAAAATAAACAAATAATTTATGTGCTTTGCAGTGTCAAGATTCATTGTTCAATTGATTCCCCCCCCCCCTCCCTTTTTTGTTGGGAGTAAGGGGTTAATATAAACAAAATCAATCAAAAAATTGGAGAAAGCAAAAACACCACACACATATACCCCCCCCCCCCCCACAAAAAAAGAGCTCACTGTAAGAGATATTTCTTTAAAACTGAACATTGTTCATAGCTACACCAACACTTGCCAATGCACATTTTACAATGGGAAATACAATCGTACATGAAGATAACAACAAAAAAACATTTAAAGCACTTCTTCAGGACATGTGGATGTATGAGCAACTCAACAAAGTCACTTTATGCTAAAATGTTAAAACAATACCTTTCAAAATACAATTCTAAAAGCTGCATCTTAAATGAAAGGTAGGATTTTCTACAAAGTGGAATTCTACCCCGACCATTTCCTATAGCCTGCGAAGACCTAAAATCAAGTTGAATGGTCAGAATCCAATGGCCTACCTGTATAACCTCCTGTCCAAGCGAGTCTAGTGGTGCCTGGACCAGTCTGATGTTGAAGACACTGTGACTACGACTCGACTCTGTGTTGAGCTGGGTGTGAGCCACCTTACGTTTGGCCTGACCTGTAAACAGACACCAAGTTCAAAGGTCATAATGAATGGATAATAACAGAGGGCTAAATTAGCTATTCAAAGATTGATTCAATTGATCAACTGTCTGAAGAAATATCATATGGTCAGAGCCAGACGAGCCTTAGCTCTGTGTTGAAGTACGAGTTAATGCCTTTCTGGCTCAAAACATCCGATACTTTCAAAGATTCAATCATCTAGAGATTGTTTTTCAATTTCTTCAAAACATAGTTTGAAAATTGGATAAAAATTGGGGAGATAATATACATCATCATCACAGAATCTTTTTCTTCTAATTGGATTGTTACCTTTGAGGAAGACTTTGTATGCATCTTCTGTTGTTTTGACCTCTACTTCTGTGCACATAGCCACATACATGTTATGGATGTGATCTTCCCTCAGATTCCTTGGTGTCAAGCCCCTAAAAATAAAAGAAAGAAAGGAAGATAAGGTTTATCAAATGTAAACTTTGAAGGTGTTACTGGATATCATGATGCACACTAGCATGGCAAAATAGAAAACTCTGTTTTAGAACAGCTAAGAGCAGTATAAAACAAACATACATGTATATGTATCAACTATGCATATACTTTTACTACAACTTCACTTTCTAATTGTTTGATTGGTAAGCATGCACTGATATTCATATAATTTGAGGTGAATGCAGGTTGAGGAAGAGTGCATTTTTGGAGGGGGAAGGTAATTGTGATGAATCAATTTTCGCAATCATAACCCGTGCCTTCAAAGCACTAAAGTTGAGCAGCAATTTACTTGAACCTTCTAATTTCTTTACTAAATGTGAGCAAAGTGCATTTTACATGCTGCATAACTATGTTTCAATAATGTAAATCAACACTCTAAATGTGAATAGACTTTGACTAAAGATATATAAAACGAAAAGGAGCTGTATGTTTCCACATCAGTCAAAGAAAGGTCAGGACACAGCATCAAAAGAAGGAGAAAAAAAGAGGAAAGTAGCATAAGAAAAATGTTGAGTAAAATTAAGTATGCAGATCTGAAGTCTAGAACTTTTGGAGGATGGTCTGGATATTCAGTACTTCAATTACAGAACTTGGTTATTTCTTTAAAAACTGTATTCTCATAACACACATCTCTAGGTGATTTATTCATTGATAGAATATAGTGGGTCAATAAAGGCAGACCTGCCAACCTCTGGAGTTCAAAAACTGTATTCTTCAATCCCAAAAGTTGTATTTTACTAACAAAAGTTTTTTTTTGTTTTGAAAATCGTATTTTATTGAGGAAGATTGTACTGTCATATTTGCTTCTAAAAATTGTACGAAATACGACTAAATCGTACTGGTTGGCAGGTCTGAAAGGTATGACCATTGGATAAAATCAATTATTACCCATATCAGACATCTGAGCAGTGGTTTTTCAAAATCATATTACACTTCTTGTAATCCTAAAAGAGCTAATCAGTAAATATAAGACTATATTACCCTCTCGTGAAAAAGCTTATAGACTTTACGTGTTAAAAAAGCAGTAAATATAAGACCATATTCACCGTGCCTTATTTTGTCATTTTCATTGCGCATCTATCATGCGTACGAGAACCTGCACACTTTGCGCGCACTCTATTGTGGCGTAATAATCACACATGCACTGTTTGCAGTGTATCAAAAATTTTGTCTAGCACTAGATGCACAGTGCTGGTTTGACAAAGTTGGTTCAGTTCTTTGAGATTGTCATGGTTGATTTATGTATTTGCTCTAGATGTCTGATTTGGATAACAATAACAATATTAACTGGCTTAACTTTCGAGAGATACCACAAATATTGCTCTCACAAGACCCATATTGCCCTCGTCTTTGACTCAGGGCAATATGAGTCTAGTTTGGGAAATGTATGTGATATCTCCCTCAAGGCCAGTCCATATTATATAAATGTGCAGTTAGTCCAGTCTTTCATACTGTGTCACTCATTAACAAAACAGGGAATAAACGCAAAGCAAGAAGTATAAAAGCAAAAAGGAAAGCAAAAGTAAACAAACTAAACATTATAAATCTAAATCCAAAACCACAATGACATACATTTCGTCTCTGTTCCAACGATTCCTGCTATAAACAAGGAATTGAATAAAGAAAGAGGATATAAACTTACAAATAACAAAATAATAAAGTCTCAAAGATCCATACTATATTTTGTTTTTCCTTATATGGTGAAATCTAAAATTATGTGAAAGTTATAATTGAGATGACAAAATAAAAAGTTACAGGACACAAAAAAATCATGAGTTTTACCGTTTCTGTCAAAAAAAAATCATATTAGATTTTAGCAGCAACTGTCAATTTACTATGATACTCCTGGGGGGCGTTTCACAAAGATCCTAAGTTGAACTTATCTCTAAGTTGGACTTAACAATTATGGAAAGCTGTTAGCATCATTGGAAATATTTTGTAAAAATTATTCTAAAAGGCATAAAATGTTGATTCAAAGCATTCATATTTTCTATATCTTGGGAGATTTCATGTTCTTAATGTGGAATTTATGAAAAGTCTGAAATACTTGAATTTTGCTTTTCAATATATTTCATTTTAAGGCTACAAATGGCTCTCCATAATATTTAAGTCAAACTTAGAGTTAAGTTCGACTTAGAGTCTTTGTGAAACACCCCCCTGGTAATATGTCAAGATCACTCAACATACTACCTAACATAAAAAGCAACTATCAAATGATTTGTGAAATATAATGGAGATTCACTTCTGCCTATGGGCTAATAGTATACACAGATGGTACAATGGGTACTTCGCTGGAAATGTGTGTAGACAAGCATACTGTAATATGTAAATGATGATAATACTACATGATAAACAAAGTGGATAAATAGACGTATAGGGAAAATGGAGAGTGAAAAATGGAATAGTAGCAGTGAATAGAGACAAGCTGAAGCTTTTCATCTTGCACTCATCAGAGTAAACTGCAAGAATGAATGGACAGAGGAAAAGCTTCAGTGCATCTATTCAATGCTACTCTTTGATCGTGTAGTAGCAATCATCCCCTTAGAGTAAGAATGCTTGGCATGGCTGATTAAAATCACAGTCCATCTCTCTAAGTGCTGAAGGACTGAGTTCATGAGCTACTGATTTATTCTCAGGTGTCCAGATACTCACTTTGAATGGAGGGAGTAGGGTTGCTCCTCTAGCAGATCAAAGATTTGATTGTTGTAGATCTCGACGTAGGAAACAAAGATGGCGTAGTTGTTGTCCTCATCAATGGTGCTCAGGCAAGTCGGGTCTGGAACCCTTACAAAGTTGTCCAGGTCAGGGAAAGCTTTCCTGTTGTTTTAAAAAGGAATGGTTCATGAACAATTAAGACTTAACATTATTAAACATCTTTCCGCATCAAAAACATTTACTTTATTTTATTTACAGATTGACAAATACAAGAGTATTGTCAAAGTTATGGAAAATCAGTAGAGCACACACTTCACTGCTTTATGTCTGGCTTTTAAAGCCTGCTTGCATATTTGCAGTGATTCAACATTTTCTGCAGCAACAAATGCTCTTAGCTTTATTTCATCCAAGAAATAGTAATAGGGTTAGGGTTGCAATTGGGCTTTATGGCGCAGTGTTGGGTCCATGGTTGAAGTAAGGAATTCAGTTAGGACGGGTAATTAATTGTCCACAAAACAATTGTTGTTGTGTATCATACCCCCATACTTCCACAACCCCCCCCCCCCATAGATCTGTGACTAAAAAATTGAACAGGGGTCATTGCTGTGCATACAGTAACATGTTTACTTACCACACAACATTGCCTCTTGCATTTCATTTAAATATACAATGGTTTTATATCACCGCAGCAGTTTTACCACTTTATCACAACACGTTTGGATAGGCCTTTATGGTTTTGTACACGACATAGAGCTGTCTTACCAAAAGAGAACATGAGATAAGATATCGGTGAACATGTGAAGAAATACTAACTTTGGTCTCCTGGGTGTGCTGGGTGTACGGGGAGTTACGGGTGCCCTAGGCGTGCGTGGGGTACGTGGGGCTACCGGTGGGGGCATCAACTCTTTCTTCTGTCTCTCCAACATAGCATCTGCTTCCGTCTGTACATCCATGCCATTCACCCTGTCTGGCTTGAAAACCTACACACCAAGAGATATCCCAAGTTCCACAAAGTGTTAAAATCATGAGCGAGAAAATAAAAAATAAAAAATGGAGCATAAATTCTCAGTTTGTATCCTGCAATACAACTTAAACATCCACAATATGATTTCAAAATAGCCAGTGTATATAGAGGAGTTTGCTAGGTGACAATCCTCATAATACATAATTGAACAAATTGGTGTACAGTACTTTTCCTTCATACAAAGCCTTTCCCTATGTACACAAACAGATAATACTGGTCTCAATGATCTGAGGGTTTGTTGTTCTCTGTAAGAAGAATTGCCGTTAAACATTTGAGACTGATCTATTTAACTAAACGCATAATCTCTGCTGTTGCTGTTGCATTGTTTCAGTTGTATTGAAACATATCAAACCAAATGTCACAGCTAGTCTACTCAGAACTACAAAAAGTTTGTTAGCATGAGAGTAATGAATGATACATAAATAAAGAGACATTATGAGATGATATCTTACATATTTCCTGGCCTGTAGATCACCCAGGCTGTTGAATAGTACATCAAGACACCTAGGCAGGACTCCTCCGTCTGTGGGTGTGCCCTGCATGGTATACGTCTTACCTGACCCAGTGACTCCATACATGAAGAGCAGTGCTGAAAATATAGAGGTTCAAAGAGCGTAACATGTGTCCATGCCATTCTCCCTTACACTAGGTAATATACATGTACATATTCACACATTGCCACTTGTCTTCCTTTTGTATCGTGGCATAATGTATCTGAAGTTCTGAAGCTCTAGCCTAATTCCAATTTATATAGACTAACATCCATTTATGTAATTCATACTTTTCCAGGAAATAATCAACCTTACCCTAGACTCTGTACAATTATATTTCATTATGACAAGCTTCAAAGCATGAGGGATGCTGGTTGCACAAGCAACATTTCTCATAAAATACACTACCCGGTATGTTGTATATTGGATGTACAATATCCATTGAGAGCCATGCAGAAGCTAATACTTGTACACTTTTAGAAAGTTGAAGCCCTTCTGGTTCTCAACAGAAAATATGGATATCATGTAAGATCAAACTTACATACACAATGCAAGCTAAGGTGGGCAGTACTACCTTTAATACATAGGACTACACAACATCATTCAAACTTTTATCTGATAAAGTGGAAAGCCAAGAAGATAGTTATCTTACAATTCTTGCCATGAAGAAGATCTTCTACCAGTGGCAATGCTATACTGTCATATATAGCCTTCTGTGAGTATTCTTCACTGAAGACAAACTTGAAGAAATGCTGTGTCTGTAATTGAAGGAAAACAAGATGACAAAGAAATAGAATTGTATCACTTTAGAGCCTCCAACTGCTTTGATTTGCTTTGAGAAAAAGTTAAATGAGGAGCAGAGGAGAAACACTCTTGAAAATATATAATTGTTGATTCTGCCACTCTGACAGACATTTCAAAATATGAACAAAAATTCTTATATAACACAAGCAAAGCAAATATTTAATACATGTACAAATTATAATACACAAAACAGTTACAATCACTAAATTTAACATTTATTTATTTATTTCTGATATTTAGACAGGTTGACTCATTATCACCAATAATGGTGGTCTTCCATGAGGCCCTGTTAAACATGAGGTACATTAGTTTAATAAATATATATATATATATATATATAATAATAATAATAACAAAATCTTGAACATAAATTCATAACAGCAATAAAGAATAAGTAAGAACATAACAATATTTATATAAGGACCCCCCCCCCCCCGAAAAAACATGTTTGGATTGACACGTTGTTATACCAAAGAGATATCACAGTGAGCTCGCTGTGATGTGTTGATGCTTATACATGAACTAATCTAAATGTTGCACATGTAATAGATGTGTGTTTATTTATGGTTTTACAAATGTGATACTTACCTCTTTGTAATTGCCCGTTCTGAACGCATGTGAACCCTGAGATGAGTGAGGAAATGAAAAGATGTTAGCTTGGCCAATTTAATATAGTTAAACCTTGAATTAATAATTTATGGATAAATAATGATTAGCAAACCAATACATGCATGCCTGAACATTTAAGCAGATTCCATTGTGATATTGCTCCTGTTGAACTAAAATATTCCAACATAAAAATGTATGTACTTTGAAATTTATTCTATCAAAATTGATAAGAAAATCTGATCTAATCTAATCTCAGTTGTGTCATGATGGACTTTCTGTCAGACTAATTCTACAGATCAGAGTCGAATTAAAGCAATGTTGCATCAACAAGTGTTATGTCACACCGTACTTAGATGGGATTTATCACAGATTTGCAATTAATCATTATGCATAAAAGTATGAATACAAAAAACAAATACAGAAGACCAATGATTCATGAACAAACCTCTGGAGGTTTGAGTTGTATTGTGTTGGTATTGATGACTTCGATACACAGTTCATCATCCTCTTGCACTGGTCTCAACCTGCAGTACACCTACAGAAACAAAACGTTAATACAAAGTCATGATAAATCATCAAATGAAGAATGCATGTTGCATTTTTAAGGATTGGAATACAAAACGTGAAATTCCATAATTCTGAAAACTGAACAAGAAAACCATCTTTTATCAATAATAAAAAAGCATTAAAATATATGAATTATAGCTTAATCTGGAAATTGTTATTGTGGGCAGTTGACAAATTTGTGTCAAGGCATAAAATAAGCCAATGTCTCAATAGGCAATAAAGGTACTTTGGTAGAATGTCATAACGTTTCACCTTTAAAGGTAAAGACCAGTATTGGAAACGCCCCAATTTAAAAAAATGAAATGGAAGCTCTCATTACCAATCATGTGAAAGAATATGTTTTGACTAATACATGATGATACAAAATTTGCCGGGAAACCGCCTACTAATTCATATATTTGGTAAATTTGTTTCTCTCATGGTCTGTGAGAGATATAGGGTAGTCCCATATACATCTTTCTGTGTATAGTGCTTGTAACTTTACGAAGAATGGGCCAAATTTCTTATCATTATGATGATTCCAGAACCTTGCAGATGCTAGATGCTAGATGATCAACCTTTTCTGATCGATTCCACAACGTTTCTTTCACAATGCAATCGCATGACCATAACTGGTCTTTACCTTTAAAAAAAGAAAAACATGATTATATATTACTAATGGTCAGTGCACACTCTTTCATCTTTAAAAAGTATTTCCTTGATCAGTTTTCTACTTGGTTTGAGCTAAACATCCATGTCTCGTCCTGTTAAGATTTAATGGTGGCTGAAGTTATTCCCTTTTCTTTTGTAGCTTTAATTGCCAACCCCCCCCCCCCCCCCTCACATTCAACATTTCTGACCTCAACTCATCTTACCTCAACGGGGTCCTTAGCACAGCTAGGAGGCTTCCGAGGGGTTTTCTTGGGAGTTTTGCCTCTTCTGAAACAAAATTGCAAATATCATCAAAAGTTAAGAATATAGACTAGGTCTAGTCTAGAATCTATACGAATAATTCTGATAGCTCTCTTAGACATATACTGCCTACAGTAAATCAACCATATGAATGTAAGTTGAACAGATTTGAAGAAAGTATTCTCCATAGATTAAGAATAGGAGTGATAGGTTTGAACTTAGATCTCTTCAGATTGAATATACACTCGACAGGCCATTGCAATAACTGCACAGGACGTACTGAAACTGTAAACCACTTTCACTGAATGCCCAAAGTACATAATAGAAAGAGCTATGTTACTCGTAGAAACTGATTTATCACATCCACAGGAAATCATGATACTACTTAAACTTTCAGAAATAGTTAAACAAAAAGCAATAGTTCGCTTCGTTTTAAGAACAAAGCGGCTGTATCAAAACCATTAAATTGTTGTTGATGTTTTTTGTTTTTTTTCTTCTTCTTATCTTCTCTTTTCCTTTTTCTTGCACCAATAAAGCCCACAATACTTGTAACTAATTTGACCTTTTACTTTTTCTAACAATTCGGTGATCACCTCCAACATCACATGCTAGCTGGCACCCCCTCACCTATGCCGGAGTGACCTAGGTTAAAACCGAAAGTCTGCGAAATATACCTCAAAGACTGGTAAGATGGCATTTTGAAAAGGGTGGGGGTAAGTGCGAAGTACACATGTGCATACGTGAGGTGATATTTGAACGCGCACGTGCACGTAAACACAAGTACGTAACTTGCTAGGCCGTCGTCTCTTTCCAAAATTATTAATTTATTGAATTTTCTCTCTAAAAAAAATTTATAGAGTCTAAAAAGAAAAAAAGAGGAAGGAAAGAGGATGGAAAGAGAAAGAATCCTAAAAATAGTCATTTATGACATGAAATTGTACATATGTATATATATAAATAATTCATAAAAATAGTGTGTGGCAAAAATAGTCAACTGTGACTGATTGCCAAACAAAAACAAATCAAGAAGAAAGAAACTATATCTATTATCCACATCAGGGACATTATGTTAGACCTACATGAGGATCTGAGACATTACGGTACATAACTTAACACACGCGCGCAACCCACCATCTATTAGGTATGTGACTAGAAAAATAATTGTGGGATTACATTGTATCTTATATCATTGGAAAGGGCTAGAAAAACCATTTAAAATGGTATATAAACCATAGCTCTAGGACAAATATTTAGCGAGTTATGATTTTTTTAAGATTAAAAATCTGATTTAATTATCGCCATTGTTTTACCATTGAGACCTCTCAAAATCTGTGACCGACCATGACCAACATAAAGGATGGTCTTATCAAAAATGTAAAAATTATTCATTTTTCTAGATAAAACCTTAAGGAAAGAACATGTGATAGGGGAAGAAAACCAATATTGTATTATTTGATGTACTATAGACCCTTCTATAATTAATTAGTAATTAGCAAATTAATTAGCTAATTAGTCGTTAATGAACTCACTGCCACAAAAAGACATACAAATTTCCGTAATTTCCTGACAATCAATTTTGAGGAAGTAAAAAAAACAATGATTGTATGTTCCGATTTGATTTATAATTTTATATTCATCAAGTAACGAGAAAAATGTATAAATAAACGAATTAAATTAGTTTTAGAACTATTAAAACTTATCTTCAGGGAAGATTACGATGGTAAAGATGACATTGAAATTTGACTTGAACAAAAATACACTTTCACATGTCCGTTTCTGAAAATTCGAAGTCGAGGCGAAAGGAAATTTTTCCAATGACGTCATCAGACAAGCAAGCCAAATTTGGCGAGAAACCGCCGTTTCCACACGCAATCAAAGAGGAACCCTGCAGAGTAACTCGTATTGGGCGTGAAACCGCTGCCGGGCGCGCTGAAACCAAGCCAATGTGCACGATAGTCACATACCTACATCTATGCACTTTTATTGTGCAGCGTTTTACCGTGAAACCTGTGAAAAACTAAAGTGTAGAATAGATCTATACTAATATCAATGTTTTTCCGAAAAAATACTCCCCCCAAAAAGAAGAAAATTGACACAAAACAGGTCAACTTTAAAATTGACAAGCAACATTTTGTTTTTTGAACTTTGCATCAGTTGTGATGTTTGTTGACAGTTTGCGATGCCACGGAAATCTGGACGTATATACCAATTGGTCCTGTCCAGTACCACCTTAGATGTAGATGAACATCATTTGCAGAACATCACCCCATGTTTTTGCACTTGCATATCTCGGCTCACTGCACTGGCACGTACATGTACATGCACAGCAACTCATCTCACTCACATTCACAATCCTGTTTCATGCACACAAAACACGCCACTAGATTACCCTTTAGCAAGATTAATATCCTATTTTCATAATATTTATGTTAACTTGTTATGTGATTTTTTAGTTACTTACGTTGGCTTCATGTTGAAATCCCTCTATCTAGTCAGAAACGCAGAATTTTTTGCTGATATTTTCACAGAAAGTCAGCCACAGTGCAGGTTGTGCGTATTATATTATGCATGCATTCAAAAGCGAGCGCGGACAAAAGCAAAGAGCCAATCATCTTCCGAACATGGAGAAAGGTCGCAATGATTAGACGTAGAGGGAGACAATCAAAACAAGGATACATTTCGCGACCTTTCATCATTCATCCGGGCCTTGCGTAGACATGGTGCAAGACCAAACAGCCTCGCCCGAACTACTGGCCTGGGATCCATCAGCGCTAGCTATAGTGTGGAGGTGCTCATTTATAGCAACCTACTCTGCCTGCTAGCTAGCTGCTCTGCGGTTCCGGGAAGAAACATGGTGGCTCTTTGAAACCTCACAACAGACTAGTCTATTACTTACATGGATTTTGAGTAGCCTGACGCACTGTTCTGTTAGGATTTTGGTAAGAACCAATCGTCGGATATATTTTTGGAAAATAAAATGGGCGTAAAACTACTAAAAAAAGTAAAAGACAGAATCAATCGCCCAAGTCTGTGTGAATGTGATCAGGATTCTGGGTGATGATTTTCATGTGAATGAATGATTAATTTATAATTAAACGTTAAAGTCATGAAAGTTACAGTAGATCTAGACTAGATCTAGAGGTCTAGTCTATATCTTGAAATGTCACTGTGCCATGAATTCTGTAATTTATGAACATAATAATATTAGATTCTAAAGGTAATATAGGCCTAGCCCTAGACTCTACAAAGTTTTGGGGAAATTCTGAAAATTGGGTGGATAGTGAATAGACTCTAGATCTAGGTCTAGACTATTTACAATTTTTATATATTTGGATGCCCCCGTGGATGTATAATAAGCACTAAAAAAATTAACCCCTAAAACACTTCTGTTTTTGAGAAAAATTGAATATAAAAATTTACCGGTGCTCCCGGTAAATTTTGATAAATTTCAAATGGAGCCTACGGCCGTACAATGGTAGCTGCGACCATGAAAATCTCAGAATATGTAGTTGTGATATATAATTTCCAAACGGGAATAGCTAATCAGTCGATTTTAGTCAACAAACATTGTTTCATAGCTAAATTGATATCTTGACCTTGAGAGGGAGCTATACAACATAAAGAGTTTATTATTTATAATTTCATAACTTTAGACTCGATTTCAATCGGGGCAACGATCAATGAATACTGTAGGAACGCATATGATACCAATATGTTAATTTGAACCAAATTCATGACCCCATACCAAAACTTTGTAATACCTTTAACTCTCTAACAATTTATCAATGACATGTCTTGAGTCTAAGAATTTTTTATTTTTTTAATATAATTTAACATGTTTAATATCAATATGGCTGAGACTCCACATACTACATCGCTTAGTCTGAAGTACTGTTAGTCATACTCGTAGATAGACTAATAAGTGTTACACAAAACCCTCTTTTCCAAGACAAATGACAAGTTGACAACTTCTCCAACTTGTCGGGACTTCAAATTGTCATATCTTTTTAGAATGCCATCACAAGTCATACTCAGTCATAGTCAGCTGACTGAGCAAGAAGATCATTGAGATTTTTCGAAAATATTCTTGGGGTAAATTTCTTGTGATTATTAATATTTACTGGGTCTAATTGTAATTAGAAACGCTGCCCAGTCTGTCTAAAAAAACCCTCAATATTTGAACACTGCATGTGTGTTGCTGGAGCTAGGATTAGTTTGGTTGAACAGTAAAGAGCAAATTTAACAAATGAAATTGCCTTGATCTAAATTATTAACATGTGTATTTTGTAATTTTGTTAACATGTGTTTATACTACAAAGCCGGGGTTTAAATTTGTCTTTATTGAGGTACATGTATATATGACCATGAGCAATATGAGTGACCAGTGAGGCTGAGATGTAACTTCAGCAACTAATTTGTTTTCAATAACAGCATTACAAATCTTACAGGCTTATATATAAGATGAACACCACAGACAGATTCATCATATTCAGATGTAATGAAAATTGAGATACTAGTACAGATGTCAAATAAATAATTCTATAATTTGATATTTTTATAAATTTATTTTCAGAGATGCAGAGCAATCTGAGTTCATGAGTGAGGATAGGCAAAGTTTATAGTGTGGTGAGAAATTTCAACTCTCTGTCAAAATGAGTTTCCTGTCCAATCCACTGTTGGCTGGTTCAACATCAGCCAAGTCTAAGGCATCGGGGCTAACAGCCACCAAGCGAAAGGCAAGCAATGGCAATCAAGCACAGGGGTCTGCCCCAAGCAAGCAGCCAACCACTGAGATGTCCCTCCAAAGTAGTAGCCTCCTTCTAGGTAGTTCCCTTCTTGGGGGGAACTCTAAATTTGGACTGGGCCTGCAGTCATCTAGTCTGGGCACGAAGTCACCGCTAATGGCTAGTACTGGTTTTAATAGCAAGCCCCAAGGCAGCTCTGGCTCTGGAAGATCCCTATTGGCTGGTGGAAGCCTACTATCCTCGAGCAGCTATCTGTCATCGTCATCTTCTCTATCGTCCTCAACATATGGAAGTTCTCCTGCTTACGGAAGTTCTGTATTGCCGAACAAGCAGAAGACACGTAGCTTGAGCCGAAGCAACAGTAACCAGGTTGATGATTCCAAAACCAAGAAGGTCAAATCTCAGCATCATCCAGAGCAGACCAAGGTCAAGGAGGACAGCGTCATTGATCCAACTCTTACCACGTGTGAGCTACCAGACTATGACTTCTCACGTCAGCTTCCAGTAACAAGTACAGTTGTGCAGGAATACGTCCCTTCTTTTGAGAAACTGGACATGGTGAACACTCTGTCGACTAATCCAGGGGAAAATTACTTGACTGAATTGAAGGTAGAGTATTCTTGTCCATGATTCATCTTGATGTTTCAAATTATTTATATTGATGCAAAGTAATAAGTCCAAACAAAAGACAGCATGTGTGACTTTTGTTCATTGACTCATCTTAAAGGAAGGTGCATCAATCATGACTAGGACAGAATATTTCTTTACTGTTCAGTTCCAGGATAGTTGATGAATCAAGCAAAATATCAGGATTAAGTATATATCTAAACGATCTAAGTGCTATGTACAGTGAGATGTATGAGAATATATTATATCACATGACAATATTTTTATTCTCTTTATCTACAATATTCACTGACCAGCGTAAATTTGCTGCAGGAGTGGTGTTACAAAAAGTATTGTAAACTAAGACAAGCATTTCAAGTAGGCCTGAGTCGAAACGGGTCCCCGACCGTCGAGCTGACCACCGTCTTTTGGTTTTCGGGTTTCGGGTTTTTCAAAATTAAATTTCACACTGATATTTTGAAATATAGAATTAAAAATATGCAATTCACAAACTTATATTTCAATATAATCAAATAAATATGCTTTAGAAATAAATGGATATTGTTTCAGTTGATGGTAGGTGTTTTTATCGCTCTAAAATTGAGGCTGCAAGAAAGGAATCACGCTTCGTGGTACCGATCGAGTGCGTTCAGAAACGGAAGTGGAAATAGATCTATGACCCACTGAAGACAGAGCAAGAAAGTGCCACACCCAAGACTAAAATGTTGATCAGACTATTGCAATTAAATCGTAATACTAAAGGCATTAATTTAATTGTCAAAATATATCCACAACATAATGGTTTAACCTTAATAGTTTGATGAAGGAAAATAAATTAAAGCTCTTGAAATAACATCAAAGTGCCTTCCGTTCGTTCTAAAAATGCGTGTATAACGGCAAGCTGAAGTTACGATTCAAGCTTGATATGCATGTTCCCTACACCGCCATCCGAGCTGATCGGAACATCACGTAAGACTTTAAGGGAATCCAATTCAACAAAATTACCGTAAAATAATTATTTGCTTTGACAAATATTCATAATATCTTACAGAAATAATGATATTTCATGAGCTACGTACTCGATATCAAGTTCAGCTAGCCATCATTTTGAAATGAGACGTAGTTGTCATGCAGCACAGTAGGCTACATGTATAGACAGAATGCTGCAGCTCGCAGAGAGGAAAAAAAATCACTGAATATCACGTGATCTCAGACCCGCGCTTTTTCCTCTCTGCTGCATACTACCCTCTACAGTCTACTACATGACAACTACGTCTCATTTCAAAATGATGGCTAGCTGAACTTGATATCGAGTACGTAGCTCATGAAATATCATTATTTCTGTATGATATTATGAATATCTATAGTATTATTTGTCAAAGCAAATAATTATTTTACGGTAATTTTGTTGAATTGGAGTCCCTTAAAGTCTTATGTGATGTTTAATGCTTAATGTTCCGATCAGCTCGGATGGCGGTGTAGGGATATATGTAAACAAAACTTGACTCGTAACTTCAGCTTGCTGTTATACACGCATTTTTAGAATGAACGGAAGGCACTTCGATGTTATTTCAAGGGCTTTAGATTATTTTCCTTCATCAAATTATCAAGGGTCGTAAACCATTATTTTATGGACATATTTTGACAATTAAATTAATGCCTATTAGTATTAAGATTTAATTGTAATAGTCTGATCAACATTTTAGTCTTGTGTGTGGGGCTTTCTTAACTTGCTCAGTCTTCAGTGGGTCATATTTCCACTTCCGTTTCTAAACGCACTCGGTACCACGCACGAAGCGTAATTCCTTTCTTGCAGCCCCAATTTTGAGCGATAAAAACACCTACCGTCAACTGAAACGATATCCATTTATTTTTTAAAGCATCTTAATTTAATTCAATTGATTATTTTATTGTTTTGAAAGCAGTAACTGTCTTTTCCGTCGCATTATTAGAACAGCAACTTAGTCTAACTCCTGCCGCTGCATGCACAAAATTTTTAGTGTCAGTGCAGTGGTGAAAATTTTGGCTACCCGGTCCCCGCCCGAAATTTTCAAGTCAAACCCAGGTTCGGCAAAACCCGTGATGACTCAGGCCTAATTTCAAGTCAATATGAATTTGAGCTAGATCATGTAAATCTATGAATCTATGATATTTTGAAATTGACATATACATTGTACCGTTATTATAATCATAATAAGAATTATGATAATAACATGTTATATTTCTCGAACCCACAGCAACAATTCATCAATGCTGTGAGTGCATCTTTGATCGGTGGCCCCAACTTTCATGAGCGTGCAGACGGTACCAGAAAGAATATCAACAGACAGGCTACCTCAATCATTGATAAAGACCCAGAATTCATCCTAAAGGTGAGAATAGAGACATATAAAATGCTTTCAGAATAGTTCCAAATGTAGTCATTTCTTTTTCCTGGACACATACTTTCCAACTTCATTTTCCATGAGACATAATGAACATACATGAGATTTTTTCATAATGAGCTAAAGCTGCTATTTTAGAGGATGTTGACCATCATACTTTGGCCATGAAAAGTTCGACATTAATAATAAGGTGGAAGAGTAAACTGTTGTCAAATGTTGAATTTATACTGATTAGATGCTTAGCTTTTACCTACTGATAATTTATATATATTTTTGGTGTTCAATTTAAGTATTTTCCATTTTCGTACATGTGTTTAATACAGTTCTAGTACACTACAATTATTCTATATGTACATGACATGCATAGATTCCTGTTGAATTTTGTGGCTGATGCAAGGCTTTGAAATGTTGTACATATACTCATAATGGATGACCATATATCTTGCAGCCATGAGGTCAAAAGTTGTGCAAGACTTGAAAGAAAGAAAAAAAAAGTCAGTACACTTTTTAATCATGATGGTAGAATTTTTTTATATTTTTTTATATATTTTTTTAGGGGGTGGCAAGAGTGGGAGGTAGCCTGAATGTGTTAACATTTAATTTTATATACCTCATACATAGATTGTCATTCACTGATTGGTCAAGACTATATCACATGTCAAGGAGCATTTCTATCTATCAAGTATCATTACGTCAGAGGGGTTGATAGCTACTATCAAACCCTGGGATAGGACCCCTAACCCCTCCCGCGACTTAGTTGCGCACACAAATTTTTTGAGTTGCTAGGCTACCGCAATCGCGCGGTTACGCGCAGTGCGTAGGAATTCAATACTCTTGCCTTGGATTTGATGTTGGATTTTTCTTATTTGGGTTAGTAAATTCCTCTTGATCTCTATTCCTGTTTTTAGAGCTAGATCTAGACCTACAGCTAGACCTAATCATGAATCAATAAAAAGGATGAGGTATATAAAACAAATATGGACTGCTCTGTAATCGGATGATGGTGGGAACTACCACTCCCTCGGTGGTGTTCAAACCGGCCCTTCTATCACCCCCTCGGCTTCGCCTCGGGGGTGATAGAAGGGCCGGTGTAAACACCACCTTGGGAGTGATAGTTCCCACCATCTTGGGAGTGATAGTTCCCACCATCATCCTCATGAGCAGTCAATATTTGTATAATATTTGCTCTGCATACTTGACAGCCCACCATAATTAGTACATGTATCATATTTAAATTTGTCTATTTATGTATTGGTGTGTGAGAGATAAACGCACGTGTCGCGCACGTGTGAGTAGTCCCATATACATCTTTCTGTGTACAGTGATTGTAACTTTACGAAGACTGGGCCAAATTTCTTATCATTTTGATGATTCCAGAACCTTGCAGGACACACCAATACTTATATGCTAGATGATCAACCTTTTCTGATCGATTCCACAACGTTTTTTTCACAATGCAATCGCATGACCATAACTGGCCTTTATCTTTAACAATTTTTTGCATTACCAAACTGTAAACATAAATTTTCCTTTGTTGCTTTATTTAGAGTTTGAATGACTAATAGCTTCTATACAATGTAATTGTCCCCAGGGCTGAGATGTATTCCTAAATAATAGTCCAAAGCCCTATTTTTCCTTGTGTTTAGAATAATACTTTTATTTTACATGACCAAACGACAAAGTAATGTAAGTAAATTGCTGTTTCCCAGTTGTACATCATGTGTCCTGTGTTTTCCATCAGGTTGCACTGTATACAAGGAAAGAGTTGAACATTCGTACTACAGCCAATTTCCTGCTAGCTCTCGCAGCCATGACCCCTGATTGCCGACCTTTTCTCAGGAAGTACTTCAGCACCAGCGTTGCCCTGCCATCTGATTGGATAGATGTTGCTGAACTTTACCAGGTACTAATGACACAGGAAGTAATCAGTTGATCCTTGCTTACATCATCTTCTAAAAAGGAATATTTTGATAGATGATCACCATGAAAGGCATTGCCCGACTGCCTTATAGTTTGAACTCTATGAGTTACTCTCACTTTATAATTCTGTGTAACCCCTGCATTAATTATGGAAGAATTTCCTTTAGGGGGCGTGTGATGATTTGGATCTAGTTGATTTGTTTGCAAGCTGTTTGAAAATGAAACCAAACATGATGTTCATGATGTCTTTATCCTTTTTGATACCCCTCTACTTTCTAGTCAATGTAATACCATTAAATTGTTCATGATTCTTGGCCATCTGAGATCACATACTTCCATTTAATCACACCAATTGAGCACATCCTGTTCTATATTTTAACAAGGTATCAATGCAACAACATACTTTATTTCAAAATTATAGAAGGAGATCAAAATTTGACCAGTAGCCAGGGATGCAAAGAAAAGAAAATAACTACTACAGTCTCAAAAGCAGACAATCATAGAGATCTATAAATCACCATGAGAATATTAATAATTAATTTTAAATTGATTGGCGATGCTGAACTTTGGAATGACATAGAATAAAGTAAACACTTTCAGGAAATGCTAAAAGCTATAATTTGTCCTTCTTGAATAGATATACTTTTATTGAGCTCTAAATGTAAATCACATCATGCAATTTTGGGTAGTTTTATAGTGCCTGGTCATATAAATAGAAACTGAAAGTGTAAGTCATGATCAAAATTGATTTTTCTCCTTACAGACATTCCATGATAAGAACATCAACTATGGATCTCTGCCCTCGGCCCTTCGCAAGGCCATGATTGATCGCTTCCCTCGGTTCGACCAGTACCAACTGGGTGAGTGCTTCAATAGTTATCCTGAAAGAAACAGAAAAGACTCAAAGATTTTCTTTCACGGCGGTGAAAGGGAATACATTAGATATTCTAATTTTAACAATAGGTGAATTTGAACAAGTTTGATTGTTGTGCTGAGGTATTTTGTTATGAAATATTGATTGAACAAAATATAGCATCAAGTAGAAACTGAAATGTCTACTTAAACATCAAATCAAGTGAAAAATGAAAACATTTTCAAGTACTGCAACACTTTGAGGTAGTTCACAGAGGGACTGTTGCCTAGTCTGCATTTTATTGTTGTTGTTGTTTGTTTGTTCAAAAGAACTTCCTATTTGGAGAGGAACAGAGAAACAGTAAAAAACGAACCAAATGTTAAAAAGTAGTATATTCAATTAGAGTTGTTTGTTTGTTTGTTTTTTTTTTCCAAATTTTTATTGATTTTCGAAATTTTTTGTAACATTACAAAACAACAATCATACAAGAATTAAATGATTGTATAACATTAAAAGAACAATAATCAAATACGAATCACTGTAACAATTACCCCCCCAAAAAACAACAACAATCAAACAAACAAACAAACAGACCTGATGTAAAAACTAAAAAATCAGTCTCGGGTGGTTTGAACTGTATCATTATCAAAATATAATTATGGATAATTAAAATAAATTCTCAATAGGGGACCATTTTCTATAGTGCATGTTTTCTTTGTGCTTTTGTTTAGCAATTACCAATTCTATATGTCTGATTTTGCAAATGAACGTTTCAAAACCTATGAAACTTACTACTAAATTCCTGCATTTCTGAATATAAATGTATCTCTTCAATAAGATAATTAAGTGATTTAATAATATTTTATGTGGTCCCTTCCAATCCTTTATGAATCCAAACATCATTCTTTTCCTAGATAGATCCTCATATCTGACAGATAGCTTTAGACCAATTTTATCAACAAAAGCTCGTCTTAAATCTTCAGCAACCTTACACTCATAAAAAAGGTGTAAAGGAGTTTCAACAGAGGTCTCGCACAATGTGCAAAGTTCTGTCTGAACTTGCTTCATTTTAAATAGTCTCTCATTGGTGTATAGAATATTATGCAAAATTTTAAACTGAAGACTCTCATCTTAACTTCTATTGTGCATTTAAATGGGAGTAGATACATTTGTGGCCATTCCTCCTCTTCTATCCCATATTTAGTGGAAAATAGGGGTTCACAGACAGGTCTACATGTCAATTTACTAACTAAATCAACATTTGTATCAATAATTGATTAAATGAACTTCCCCATTTCTTCCTGACTAGCGATACTATTGCCAAATATATCATGTAGTATTTACCTGGTACTCCTCTTGCTTTCCAAAGATTAAATTGCACAATGTTTCCATGTAGATCAAAAAGTTGATATACATAACATAGACCTGCCTCATGAAAGGCCTTACAGTAAACTGATTTATTATCAATAAGAATATATTGATTGTTCCAAACAATTTGACTAAGTACACTTGCTTGGTCTCCTTGATCATCAACAAATTGATTATACTCCTTTGTCTTGGACCATGCTAACAACAAGTTATGATAAAATATGGGAATTCCAAGAGAATTCAACTGGCTCATAGAATAATTACTCATAAAAATCAATTTTCCACCAAATCGTTTACTATAGTGGTCAAAAACCAACTTCCAATGATGATCTGATTCTGTATAATATCTCTGAATCCACTTAACCAGCTGTGTCTCTATCATGCATTTTAGTTTCGGGAATTTAAGACCACCTTCAGTATAATCTGCAATCATTGTTGCCTGTGATATCTTATCTGGACCTTTCCATATAAACCGAAACATCAACTTTTCAACCTCCTTAACAAAATCATCGGGTATTTCAATATTGGAAACTATATACATAATCGTAGACATAACAAATGTTTTCAACAGTTGAATTTTTCCTATTAAAGTTAACCCCCGATTCTTCCATCTTAAGAAAGTACATTTTATTTCATCCAGTCTCTTATCAAAGTTCAGTTTCCTGACTACTTCCTGATCATATGAGAATCCTGATCATATGAGAATAGAGTTGTTGTTGTGGTAGATTTAGAAAAGACTTTAAGTGTTCTTGAGTGAAAGAATGAATGTCTTGACTTTTCTTGCCGGTACACTATTCACTCTATGAAGAATGGCTCACGTAGAGAATGTTCAATAATACAAGATTTGAAACCATCTCTATTTACAGCAAAATACAACAAGGAGAAGAAAAAGAAGAAGAAACCTGTCGCCACAACTGATAAGCCAGCAGAGGAGAAGCCCCCAAGTGATAGTGAAAGCGATGATGATAAAGATGAGGACAGTGATACGGACGAGGAGGAGATGGAGAGACTGAGCTTTACCCTCAAGCAGTTGATCAGGAAGCTTCACATCAAGGAACCTGTGGACAGTGTCATGTGCCTTCTTGGAAAGAGGTATGGTTGGATGGTGATTTTATTTTATGATTTTAAATCCAATCCTAATTTTTTTGTAAAGGCGAACCATTTAAAAATCAATCCTTTCTTTTATTCCTCTGTTGAAGAATATCATACATGTAGCATAGCAATGTCACCTGATAAAGAGTGCTCTTGAAACGTCCTTATATTCCCAAACATGACTATATGGAGTTTAACTATCTGCCACATGTGTATAGTCCCATGTGTATATATTCCTTGCAGTTCTTTTCACTGTTTTTTCATTTTCATTAAGATTGAGTCAATTTCAATTCTATTGTGATTATCCTGAAACCTTGCAATTATCTCATTCATACTTGCAATAAGCCAAATGGTTCCTATTTGGTCTCTTTCACAAAGCAGCTACAGGACTGGAGGTCAACATTACCTCTGATGAATTTAAATGAATTGTATATAAATAGACATAACTACGAGTTGTGGGAGTACCAGTTATAGATTTCAAGACAAAATAAAGAGCTGCATGTCCCTGTCAATAAGAGTCTATATTGAAATCTTTGTGGTAAGGGTTAGCAGTACACAACAAGCAGACGATTTTCTTAATACAAATCAATGTTAAGACCTAAAAACTCATATCGTGAAATTATGAAATCCTGCAGGTACCCAGAAGATATGGAGACCTTCTACGCGAGTCGTCTTTCCGGTACATGGGACACTGAGAGGGCAGGCAAGAGGATGAAGCTACCTACCCCAGAGACCTGGGAGACACAGGTCTCACTCAAAGGCAACAAAGCAGCAGTCTGGGAACAGCTCATCGGTAAGTCACAACAATTTGGGGTATAGCAGTCTGTGACAGCTATGTCAATGAATTCCGGCTTAATGGCGGAATGGATATAAGGCTTGCAATGAGAAAGTTGACTAATTTCTAAGACAAAGTTATTTCTTAGTGTGTGTATTTAGGGAAATGATACAATTACAAATTGTTCCTATGTTGATTAGTGACTCAGGTGTACATCTATTTACATGTATATCTCTCTCCTACTCCCTACATGTACATGTGTCTGCCAGTTACTTTCCATATCTATCTGTATTTTGTACTTCTGTCTGTACATTTGTTTGTCTGTCCATCTGTAAACTTGTTTGTTTGTTTTTATTTGTAAACTTGTCTTGTTCCCTATCCAGTGCCCTCTCTATGTCTTTTTATATTTTATCTGTCCACCTGTTCATCTCCATCCTTCTTTCTATATTTCTCTTTCTCTCTCTCTCTCTCCCTCTATCTCTCTTCCCCCTCCCTCCCTCCTTCCCTCCCTCCCTCTCTCAGTGTCTCATTGCATAAGGTAAAAACAATTTCAGCAAATTTACGTTCTTTTATTTGCACTTTCTCAGACAACAAGAAGTTGCCGTTCATGGCCATGCTGCGTAACCTGCGCAACATGATTGCTGCAGGGATCAGTGAGAAGCATCACAAGTGGGTCCTGTACAAGCTGACTGACAGAGGCTCAGTGGTCTACAGCAAGCAGTTCCCATTCAGGTTCTTCTCAGCCTACGAAGTGCTCACGAGCATGGAGTATGACTTGAAGAAAGCAGGTGAGAATATCTTTAGTCTGCCAAAATGGACAGACAAATAGAAACCAAATGTTAAATACTTACTGTGATTTAGATCGGTTTCCCAGATTAAAAAAAAAAAAAATTTTCCCTGATTTTTTTCTTCCCACAATTATTTTGTTTTGTTTTGTTTTGTTTTATCTTCCCGATTGTATCCCTATTTTTTTTTTTCCCCTATTTTTCCCCAATTTTTCAAAAGGGGGAATGTTGTCAGATGCCTTTATTTTGCACAAAATCCTTTTTCTGTTTTCTTTTACTCAAGGGGGGGGGGGGGGGTGGTTGAGGTTGCTCACTATCACCCCTGTATTTCAGAAAAGTGGATATATATATATTGTGGTAGAACTTTGAATTACTAACATACCGTACTCTTTCATTGTACTTTGTTTACACATGATTGAATATAAGACACACAAATTGATGTATGCTAATAATTAACTACACTGCTTGTTTTAGAATAAATAAATTATAGGACTATGGACAACTATAAAGATTGATTTGTTTAGCCATTTGTCTTTCAATTTAGTTTCATGATGTGTATATCCCTATTGATATATATATATATATATATATATAGATATATATATTCCATTGATTTAATGTATCCAACTTGTAAATTTGTTTGCAATTATTTTGTAAGGAGCTTGATCATCAGTAAAGATGGATATATGCATGTTTAATAGACATTGTAATTTTTAATATTATGAGAGGAGAGTGTCTTGAGGTTAGTGAATAAAATAATACAATTGTTTGACCTGTTTGCAGATAAACTGAAAGAGCAGTTAGCTAGTGGTATTAAGCCCCCTCCAAGGAAACAGCGGGGTAAAAAAGAGGACCCGATACCCAAGTGGAAACGGGCAAAGATGGACAAGAAACTCAGGTTGGTATTTGAGAATTGAACCTTATTCATGATATATTAAGACCCTGCATTCATTACAGTTTCTTATTTTATTGTTTATTGCATTCGTTTCATGTTCTCGGCATTTTCCTTGTATTTTCATGATTGCAAGCATTATACAGTGTACCTGAAAATATTCAGAGAAGCAAAATTTTTTTTTTTTTTACTACAGTTTTTTCAGCCTCTGTAATTTTTATGCCTCCGTTACGAAGTAGCCGGAGGCATTATGTTTTCGGGTTGTCCGTCCGTCCGTACGTCCGTCCGTACGTCCGTACGTACGTACGTACGTACGTCTGTACGTACGTACGTCCCGTTCTCGTGATCGCGTTATCTGAAGAACTGGTTGATGGATTCCTGCCAAACTTTGGTCATGTACGTATCTTGTAGAGCCGATGAACTGATTAGATTTTGGGGTTACGAGGTCAAAGGTCAAAGGTCACAGGGCTCATTATGTATGCAAAGCAAGCTCGTGATCGCGTTATCTGAAGAACTGGTTGATGGATTCCTGCCAAACTTTGGTCATGTATGTATCTTGTAGAGCTGATGAACTGATTAGATTTTGGGGTCACGAGGTCAAAGGTCGAAGGTCACAGGGCTCATTATGTATGCAAAACGAGCTCGTGATCGCGTTATCTGAAGAACTGGTTGATGGATTCCTGCCAAACTTTGGTCATGTATGTATCTTGTAGAGCCGATGAACTGATTAGATTTTGGGGTCACGAGGTCAAAGGTCACAGGGCTCATTATGTATGCAAAACGAGCTCGTGATCGCGTTATCTGAAGAACCGATTGATGGATTGCTGCCAAACTTAGGTCATGTATGTTACTTGCAAAGCCGAAAAACTGATTAGATTTTGAGGTCACGAGGTCAAAGATCAAAGGCCACAGGGCTCATTATGTATGCAAAACGAGCTTGTGATCGCGTTATCTGAAGAACCGATTGATGGATTGCTGCCAAACTTAGGTCATGTATGTTACTTGCAGAGCCGATGAACTGATTAGATGTAGGGGTCACAAGGTCAAAGGTCAAAGGTCAAAGGCCACAGGGCACATTATGTATGCAAAAACAGCTCGTGATCGCGTTATCTCAAGAACCGATTGATGGATTCCTGCCAACTTAGGTCATGTATGTTTCTTGCAGAGCCAATGAACTGAGTAGATTCTTGGTTCATAAGGTCAAAGGTCATGGGCTCATTATGTATGCAAAAATAGCTTGTAATCACAATATTCTGAGAACCTGTTAATGGATTACAATTGAACTTGAATTCGAAAAATTTCTTCTGTTTTGGTTTGTAAAATTGCTCTATGACGGAGGCATCATTTTCGACTGCGCGCAGTCGAAGTTCCATCTAGTTCTAAGTGTGTAACAGGAGAGGAACAAAAAGGATGTCTTTCAAAGCATGAAGTGACACAAGCTCAGTCGAAAAGTGGTCAATAGTAATAATTATTAGTTACTTAACTGTTCTTGTACTTTTTATGTACTATAAATACTTTTTTTTTCCAGTGAGCTGCCATATGACATCAGTATCTTGAACCGCTACCGCAAGGCCCTTGACTCTGCCGTCAAGATCGCCACCAGCTACAACGTGAAGCCGATCCCAGGCAAGACCCTCCTACTGTGCCATGTAGGCAAGTCTATGGAGAGACCATGTACCTCAGCCAAGGGACTGGGAAAGAAGAGGACTGTGAGTGTTTGACGTATGATACAGAACAACTGTGTGAATTTAATTTGAACTATGGAGTAAAAGTATTTTTATTTAGTTATATATTTACTTTATTCATTTCATTTAAACAGGGTAACTCTCTCAGTATTAAAACTGTTTTCATGAGAGGCCCTATACAAATTATAAGTAACAAATGCAGAAGAAAGTAACAAAGTTTAAATACATACATATCATATCATGGATTATTTGTTTTTATACACCATGATATGAACATGAAAAAATAGGTATTTGAACAACTTATTGAATATAATACACGTCCTTTCAAATGGGTTAATAATAGATCAAATTGGAAAAGCTAAAATACTTGTTTGGTTTGTTATTACAAAAAAGAACAGACTCTGGGATTAAAATAAGAAATTATTTCTAGCTATTAGAAAATATCAGACATGTAGTGTTCTCCAGTACAGATTTGTGAATGACTGTTTTGACTGGGCCTGTCTAACACAAAATGGGAGTTGGTTCCATAGTGCAGCACCTTCATGTGGAAAGGAAAGTTTACACATCTGGGTTTTATTAATTTTTTGTTCAGAAAGAAATATGGAGAGTAGCTAATGGAGAGGTCTTGGTGTTTTATGCTATGGACAATGTAAGTGAAAAGGCTAGGAGACTAAGTTTTCCAATAGTTTATCCTTATGTCACAGAGGAAGAATAAAATATGTACATATTTTAGAGATATTCAAACCATGGCTGTGATTTGTGTCCCAGGTTTTGGAGGTGGGTGTCCTGTTGGGTCTGATGTGCAAGTATTCCTGTGAGAACTGTGACATGCTCATCTTTGGTGGCAACTCTCATCGTACCGTAGAGCTGGAGTCTGGAACCATTCTAGATAACATGGCCAGTGTCCTAGGCCAAGCTCAGGTAGGTCACTATACAGGAGTACATGACAGTTAGATAGATATTTATATAATATTGGATGGCTTTGAGTGTGATACTGTACAAGAATATATTGCTCGAGCTAAAACAATAATGGACGAGTCGAAGACGAGTCTAATATTTTCTTAGCGAGAGCACTATATTCTTGTATCATACAAAAACAAAGCCATGCAATATTATTTTTTACTATCTATACTAGTCTGACTAGCGAAGTAACAAAATTGGACATACCTCGGTAAATATGGATTTGTTTTCGTGTGATATCGATATGATATCGATAGTTGAAGTTCCCGGATGACTAAGCAATACAAAAACAATATTGAGCAGTCCATCGGGTACTGAGCAAAAGATATTGAATATTCTGATATGTTGTACCACTTCGAAGTCTTGTAAAGATAATAATATATATTACGTGTATACTCTGGTGATATAGAATTAGAATTTACATATTTGCTTTGTGTGATTTCATATAACAATTCTCATTTCCTCTCTATTTTCTTCTTTTGCTATCTCTCTTTTACATATTTTTCCTTTTCCCCTGTCACAATAATCTTTTCTTCATTTCCTGTTATACCCAAATGCCTGCTTCTTTTTTGATCAATTGTTGTTTTTGTTGTATTTCTCACTTTTATTTCTTTCTTTTTTTACATATTTAGTCCTCTCTGAATCTTTATGATTGGTCAAATGAACTTGGAACTTGTTACATTGTGAAAGAAAACAAGAAATTGATTATTAAGAAAACAGCTTTTGATCAAGCATTGTTGGGACATAGAAATGAAATTATTAGTGCATGACATACATTTTAGCATAAGAGTTTAGTATTAGAAATGCACAACACTTGATGTCATAATCCTCTTGGTATGTTGTAGAAATCATGCTCCGAGACAATTGCTTCAGGGTCAATATCCTAATCGTACCGAAACTAATTCCTATCTTCAACCCTGGACCTAACCCTATCCCTATCCCTACCTCCAACCCTAGACCTAATATAAAATCAAATTGCAACTGTAATCCTAATCCTAAAGCTTTTGATGGGATAAAGCCCAGAGGAATTGTTGCCGGAGGATATGCTGGAGCACCTCTTGATCACCTTCTCCTCTTTTACTTTCTCTCTTTCCTGCAGGTCATGATGACCCAAGAAGAACAAGGCCAAGGACTAGATCCTACGATTCTGGGTGAAATATTGAAGGATAGAGATGAGGTAAGTCAGCAATCGAACGCCGTTCCTGGTCTCTCTTTCCTGCAGGACATTATGCCCCAAGAGAAAGAAGGCCAAGGACTAGATCCTACGATTCTGGGTGAAATGCTGAGGGATAGAGTTGAGGTAAGTCAGCAATGGAATGCCGTTACTGACCCCTAAAATTCTGCCAATTTCCTCTTGGGCCCCAAGGGGAAAATCCCAAGTGCTTGGTGTTTTAATGACTTGCTCATATCAGCAGCATATAATATTGGGGGTAGTCACATCATTGAGCATGATCGGGAAGCATCAAAGCGTTACTCTACCATCCTTCATTATTAAAACAAAATGTGTTTTTGCATGCAGGAATGTTTCAGTTCAAATTGGCAAAATTTGTGAGAGTTTCTTGCTGCAAAATGTTTGATTCATATGGTTCAAACTTTGCAATTTGTGAATATTCCTTGGTTTGAAAAGGGCTTTCATTTATCAATTGAAAAGTTTGAGGTTTTAGAGTGTACCGATATTAATGATTATGTGCTTAGGTCAAGCCTCCACAATACTTAGTTTACTGGATAACATAGCAAAAATGGTTAGGCTCATACATATATTCATATAGTCTGTTGGGAGCAGGTGTGATATTAAGTCTGTGTAAAAAGTATAGGAGTCAATACCTTTCTGACTCTCATCAGACAATCATATTGCTCCGATTGTCTCATTTTCGCTCGCGTGAACATTGCCAGCACAAACCACTGACCTCTACCTCCTGAACGGATCATCGCACATTCCCATTCACTATACGTTACGTACTAAAAGGCTGTATTGTCTGACCGTTCATGAATATTCATGTTTTTGCTAAACTCGGCAAAATGTTTGCTTTTACTAAATGGAAAAATTACGGTGGGGGGTTGGATGAAATGGACAAAATGAAATAGGAAGAAGTGATCTATGATAATTCATGCGTTTTATGTTTCGTGTGCTCGACCTATAATCTTCAAATCGCTTGGTAAACTGAGTCCAAAGTTAGACTTGTTTCACATGTGTATTATAGGCAATGGCGAGCTTGCAACCTATTTTGAAAAATTACGGTGGGTGAACTTTCATAACGTACGTCGGGGTGGATGTGCTTTTTGTTTAAACAAAAAATGAATTTTTAACGATTTAAAAAAAAAAACGTCCATAGGCTAACATGTTAGGCTGCTGACGCTGACCATGCTCTGACGATAGGGGGCGTCGTGAAATGAGACTAAACAGAGCCATATGACATTGTAATTCATGAAACAGTTAAAAGCTCATCTGTCTATACATTATTCTTGCAAACATTCATTGAGCTGTTTACCGATGTATTCCATACAGTTGGATAATCTTGTTATTCTGAGCAACTCGGCCATGCAAGAAGGGAAGGAGGCAGAAATGATAAAGGGTTTCCTCACCAAGTATCGTCGGGTTGTCAATGAGAATCTACTCTATGTCAGCGTGGACCTGAGTGGGGGAAGATGCAGGTAGGTACCCACAATAAGCTCCTTCTTGAAAATACATACCGTAAATCTCTGTGTATAAGACACACCTGTGTATGGACGCACCCTATTTTTAGGACCAAAAGCATTTTTAATTTTTTTTTTTTAAAACCTGTTTGCTGCGTTCACGTCGTTCATAGTCCTATTTTACCTGTATTTTACCCCTGAAGTCAGGCCACGGGAAAGACACATAGTCTTGTCGGGCTACACTCCCTTTAAGCCCCAAGTCTAGTGCATCTGTTAACACCAAATTCATACAAATCTGGATTATCAAAATTCAGTTACTGTGCAGCATCCAAAGACCTAGTGCTGCGTGTGTCAAAATTGCAATCTCCTTGTACTAATGCGCACAAAACCTGATCACATACATGAATAATTAGTCAGGTGATTATTCCAAATTACTTCTAGTCATGGAGACAAAATTTAATAATTATATTCACATTAAGTTACTTGTTTAAAATGCCACTTGTCAAGATATTTTGTTTGCTTTTGGTAGATAATGTACTTTCTGCAAAAACAAGTTGCCTATGCAATTATGCTCTGTGGTTGGAGTTTGATAGATCTATGCAGTAATTATCTTGATCATCCATAAAGAAGTATTTTTAAAATTCATCATGTAAATTCAGAATCAATCTTTTCGTTTATTTAGTGATCCTCAACAGTTGGATAGACATTTCCTTCAAATTGGATTTATGAACACCAAGTATCTAAATCTAAATTTATGATTTGCAAAATGATTTCATCCTTCGATTGAAATGGTGACCTATTCACACCTAAGTTTTTAATTTGCCTGAATAGAATTTGACTGATCAATGTATATATATATTTTTGTTGTTCACCAGCTTGTCAGCCACGCCTTCCCATCCCAATGATATCTACATTGCTGGATACAGTGACCAGATCCTAAGATTCATTGCTGAGAGAGGGGATACTGGACAGGTCACTCATGTCCAGAACATTGACAAGGCTTACAATCTAGATGATATAAAGGTGAGAGCCGGTTTCATTTTGGGAAGGAGAGGGGTGATGAGGCGATGAGGGAGAAAATGGAAGTAGAAATGGGGAGGGGATGGGATAGCCATGTAAGTTGAGATATGGGATGATTCATTGCTGAGAGAGGAAGCATTGGACAAGTCACTCAGGTCCAGAACATTAAGGCTTACCATCTAGATGATATAAAGGTGAGAGCTGAGTTCTAATATTAGGAAGGAGAGGAGTGCTAGGGGGGGGGGGTGGAGGTAGAAATGGGGAGGGGTAGGGGAAACAGCCATGTTAGTTGAGATATGGGATGATTCAAGGGAGAGGAAACATTGGACAAGTCACTCAGGTCCAGAACATTAAGGCTTACCATCTAGATGATATAAAGGTGAGAGCTGAATTCTAATATTAGGAAGGAGAGGAGTGCTAGGGGGGGGGGAAGGAAATGGAGGTAGAAATGGGGAGGGCGTGGCGGAAACAGCCATGTAAGTTGAGATATGTGATGATTCATTGCTGAGAGAGGAGACATTGTGCTACCCTGTATAAATGTCAGAAATAAATAAATGAAGAAATAAATATATACTGAGATACATCTGCAGTAGGTAAAATATGTATGCTGGACTATTCCTTTCTCTTTAGATATGTTTTACACACATGTGGAGTTTGTATAATGCAGTCCTTTTTATCCTACAGATCCAAACTGGAAAGAAGAAGGATCTGGTGACACCAGAGATTCCACGAGCACTACCAGCTCCTCAGCAGACTAGAAGGTAATTCCACCAACCTCAAACTCTTTCAGACCCACCGAACTGTGCAGGCAATATCCACACATTTGGTGAAAAGAGTCTACCATGCTTTCTTCTCTTATATTTTCATTGTTACTTTACCCAAATAAGACAATTCATTTTCAAACTGTATCCTAAATATGTTATGAAATGAAATGAGCAATTTTGACGATTAGATACCAAATACTTTGTTTTCATTCATTTAATAAATGAGTCGCAAAGATCAAACCATTCTTTTTCACAGTGACGAATAGGCTAAGTCTTCAATTACATTAGACAGTGCTTTATGTTACAATGATGTGTTCATTATTATTCAACATGTTGATTGCTTGTGATGTGTAATTTTCTTAATCTGAGTGAAGATGCATGCATTGACCCCTGTCATTTTGATAACTTACAGACACCATACAGTGCGTGTCTTCATCTCCTCCACGTTCCGTGACATGCATGGCGAGCGTGACCTCCTGACCCGGTTCGTATTCCCAGAGCTACGAGCCAAGGCGCGCACCCGCTTTGTGAACCTCTATGAAGTAGATCTACGATGGGGAGTCAGCGAGGAGCAGACTAAACACAGCAGGTATTATTCTCATTTCATTTATGATGATATTGTTGATGATGATGATGATATAGAACTCTGTGGACATCTTTTTTTTTTAATCAAGGAAGTTGGCACGTATGATGTAGTTTGTTAATTGGTTATGTCACTATTTAGACATTTACTGAACAACAACAAAAAGAAATCATGTTACTCGGAAAAAAAAACTCATAAAATAGAAAAAAGAAAAACTATTCTTATTGCTGTGGAATCATCACTGTGTAACAAATGAGCTTTAGTAATCGATTGAGGATGGTTTGAGTGGTAAGGATTTAATAGAAATTGTTGAAGAAAAAGGAAAACAAAAATGTTTCCTTCCATTGTGTCTCAGGGTACAAGCTGTCACTTCATTTGAATAAGGCTATAGAAAGAGAATTAGAGAATTAGCTGAATTAAGAAGAGGATGAGGGTGAAAAGAGAAGGAGAACAAGAAAATTTAAAAGGAGAAGAAGGGGAAAAAATGCAGTGTGTACAAGCACCTTACGGCTGCAGTAATTTGATAAATTAGCAAATTGCTTTACAAAAAACACCATGAAACATTAACAAATGAATGGATGTACAGTTGGAGAGGAGAATGGAATCAACTACTCTTGTGATATGATAAACCATGTATATCTGATTCTACATTTTCAGCTCTGTTGAGGTGTGTTTGCAGGAAGCCAATCGCTGCGACCTCTTCATTGGCATCCTGGGAGATCGCTATGGTTATGTCCCTAACGACTACCCTGACCTGAGCGATAACGAAGACTTCAACTGGCTGTCTACTCATCCCAAGTCACGCTCCATCACTGAGCTAGAGATGTATCACAAGGCCCTGAGACACTCTGAGGGTAGTACCAAGGCTTTTTTCTTCATCAGAAGCTCTGAATTTGTGAAGTATGTTCAAGTTCAGACAAAATATTTAATTCATCTCCTTCTTGAAGAGTCTCTTATGGAGTATTTTGCTATCACATATTTCTTAATTCATCGTAAATGCATCATTGAAGGAAATTCTATTTAATTGTGAGAAAATGCTGAGAGTAGAAATATAATGATGTTTTTTTTGTAGGTTCCATTTTGATTTTAATCTCTCAGTTGAAACTTTTTTTTTAGAGGGGGATGGGGGAATAATCACTTACTTATAAAAGAAGCTCCAAATTTGTAATGTGATATATATTTTACAGGTATGTGAAGACAATTTCCATGAATTCAGGTTAAAACCAGGAAAATTGTCATGTTTTGCTTTTTTATTCCACACTTACCTTATACATATTATGATGTATGCTCTCTTCTTTAGGCATGTCCCAAACAAGTTGAGAAGCCAGTTTGAAGATGAGAGTAGCCAGAGCAAGGAGAAACTAGCAAGCTTGAAGGAAACCATTCGTACCAGTGGATGTGAGGTCTTTGATGGGTAAGCACACAACCTCAAACACTACTTGTTTCTTTTATAGATGAAAAGGTTTCAGTTCATGTAATTCTCTACCAACCCCATTATATTATCTGTCCAGGGGGGTGTTTCACAAAGATCCAAGTTGAACTTATCTCTAAGTTGGACTTAACAAATATGGAAAGCTGTTAGCATCTTTGAAAATATTTTGTAAAAGTTATTTTAAAAGGCCTTAAATGTTGATTCAAATCATTCATATTTTCTGTTATGGAGATTTCATGTTCTTGATGTGGAATTCATGAAAAAACTATAATACTTCAATTTTTGCTTTTGAATTTATTTTATTTTATGGCTACAAATGGCTCTCCATAATGTTTACGGGTAGTCCAACATAGAGTTGAGTTCGACTTAGGATCTTTGTGAAACACCCCAAAGACATTAATGTACCATCTAGCATTACTTTTGAAGGATATTCTGCCCATCCTTTAAAAATAAATTTTATGAAGCTAATCACATGAAGTGTACAGTTTGCATGTAAAACAAAAATAAATTTTCTCTAGAATATAAAATCATTTGCGCAAAAAAAACATTATTTAAAGAGTTTTCTTACCATAATTATTGTCAGTTGATAATCTTGATTTGATTTGTACTTTGATTTCTTCCTATTATTTTCAGTTACCCATGCCATTTTGGAGGAGTCGTGGAGGGTAAGCCAGTTGTAGTGAACCTTGAGGAGTTTGGTCGCCGTGTCATCAACAATGTCTGGAACCACATCAAGCAAGCATACCCTGAAGATGTAAGCTATGGTGTTTATTTAGGCCATTAAAATATTGCTGAAAATGTCCCAAGTTGTTGATCGAGGTCATGGATTTGAACAGATAATGCTTTTCCATGTTACACCTTTATTGTCTCAGGTGACATTAACAATCACATTTTAAAGTTCAGCCAAGTCTTTGTATTCTCCTTGTGGTCAGAAACTTTGGTTTTGTTCGTCAAACGTTCTAACTTTTGTAATGTATATGACTTCTAAGATTGAAGAATATTAGCTCAATCTCACCAGTAACCTGTTTATAACTAAGACAGATCCAGGAAAAATCAGAGCAGCTGTGTTTCAAGATATTTATAGAAATACTGTCTTTATCTATGTGTATACCGTTTGATTTTATTTAACAAAATACACATGTGTAAAACTAAATTGATTATGTGGTTCCAGGGTGAGATACTTGATGAAGTGGCCCATGAGAGGGCACAGCATGACATGTTCCTGCAGTCGCAGCTGGCCACGTTCACCGGCAGGAAGACCCAGGTCAAGCAGTGTCTGGAAGCTGTCAAGAAGGCAGAGACGGGAATCATCATGGTTACAGGCAAGCAGGGATGTGGCAAGACAGCTCTAATGGTAAGATATGATGAGATAGATCGGAGGGATGAGACTCAGAGGGGGAGAAAAATATAGACAGGTGGGGATTTTGAATGAAACTTCCGTTTATCTCTGAAAAAGCTGTCCTGTCCTGTAGCCAGAGTCACTGATTGTCAGGATCGCTAGCAAACGGAGATGAGGTGAAAAAATTTCTGCTAGTAAATGGATTCATTAGGGTAAGAGTAGAGTGAGGGAGGGAGTGGGGGTGAAATGATTGAAACAGGGACAAAAGTAAACAGAATGAAATGTGATGTTGTAAGGCAGGTACTCTCATGCGCAACTTTCAAGTGGGAAAGGACATGTACAGAAAATATGTAGCCAAGAAAAAAAATGGACAGATAGGGTGTAGGAATATACAAATAATGCTTACCGTACGTAGAGAAAAATATTAAGCTGTATAAGCTTCATGGTTTATATGTAGGGGTAAAAAGGGGGAAGTGCATCTTCAAATAAATGGTCATTGGAAATTTTTAAAAAGTTATCAGTAATGGTGTCTTTCTTTATTCCTTTGCCGCATGTATTGTATATCTTAATGCGGATATATATCATTGTCTTTCATTATCACATTACTGTATCTAGGCCTCTGTTGTAGACACTCTGCAGAGCAAGTCGAGCCAGCCCATCATTGTTCACTTTGTTGGTGCCGTACCTGGATCCAGTCATGTATCTCCACTTCTCAAGAGACTATGCAATGAGCTCGTACGTCGCTTTGGTCTGCAGAGCCAAGTCCCTCAGGAATACAAGTAAGTATTAAAGCTCATCTGTACTAGTTTATAGGAGGGATTAGACCACCTTGCAAGGTCACTGGACAGGTGGTTATCTCATCAACTCAGCTCTCAATTAACATAAGAAAAAGGAGATCATGGGGGACCAATGGTCACCGATTAGGCATTGTTTTCTATATAGAGGGAGCAAGTAGCTACAAGTAGTACAGGGTGGCTTTAAATATTCCATGTTCATCTTTGTTTTAAAAAAGTTTTGCTTTGGCTTTATAGTCCTAACACAGCAAGTGTAAAAAGAAAAATCTTATCAAAATCAATTTGCTTATTACTTGGAGGATTCAATTCCTAAACTTAAATTATTCCATCTTCTACTCTTAATTCTTTGATCTATGCCCACCTGTAAGAATTGAATCTGCAATACCTCGTTGAACCACCAAACCAACTCCAGACTTGCTGCTTATTGTTAAATGTTGGTCACGCAGGGTTACATAATATTCTGTTTGGTCTTTTGACCCTTTGGTGCTGGTCTGATTTGTGTGACTGTGAATCTGTAAGGCATGTTCTGCCTTAGTGGTTTCCATCGCTCAGATTCATTAGAATTTCATACATGTTTTATTTCTTTGTCACGTTTGTCGCATCCCAATTTCTTTTGTAGGAACCTTGTATCTGAATTCCCACGTTTCCTGGAAGAAGCAGCAGGGCATGTAGACTCCACTAATAAGCTAATCATTGTCATCGATGGCATCAGCGGCATGGACGCGGCTCACCAGGCCCACAACCTGGACTGGCTGCCACAGAACATTCCCCAGGTACTAAATGAAGTTGTCTTTGAGCTTTGTAGGGGAAGTTGTTATAAATTGCTTTGTAATGACAGTGAATGATAACATTGAAGTTAATATTATAGCTTTCCTCATAAATTTGACCTCTGTGTAGCATATTAACACATTCACCAGTCATTTGCCTATTTTTTTTCGTCGCTATATAGTGTGATTTCAATTTTGAAAAAGTTGTAACTAAAAAGAAATTTGTGATGTTGCATGGAGTAACAGAAAAATACAGGAGATTTAGCAGTTGTACCCCATTAATTTCCATATATGTTGTGTTTAGTATTCTTCAAGAATTTGCAAAATCTTGATCTTGCAACATCATCTCTCAGTTGAATTAACATTTATGTTATACTCATTTATGACACTGTCAATTTAAGTTCTCAATATTTATATTTCAATAACTTTGGAAATCCATACATTCGGTAGTATAATCACTGTAATTGATGTAAACCTCATTCCGGAGATAGTTAGTTCTCAGGTCCAAGTTTCTGAAAGAGAGAAAGATAATTAAACATACATTTTTGTTGATGTCACAGAATGTCCTGTTCATTGTGAGTGCGGTCATGTCATCTCCTGCCCACGCTGCTGTGGTCAGACGCCAGGCCACCATGGTAGAGCTTGGACCTCTAGATCTGATGGACAAAGCTGAGGTGGTCAGAAGAACACTGGCTGCTCATCACAAGAAACTGGATGAATCACCATTCAATAACCAGGTAAATTCTGGTGACAGTAGCTTCCAATGTCTGTGGCATCCACTCAGATAAATCTGACCCTGGGTTTTAAAGCATGTTTAATAAAAAAGAAACTTAGACCTCATCCTAAATTCCTTATATTACCTAATTTCTACCAAAATCATAAACCCAGTGTCTAGATTTAATTTTTAGTAGAATACAGTTAACGGCAGCCATTTAAGATTGGTGTTGATGTGTGCAATTCTTTGATTTACTTCAGTTAGAGTTAAAAAATACCCTTGATATGTACAGGTCTCTTTTCCCAGTCATTTTTTAGAGAATGATTAATTAAGTGATGGTTAAACCCTTATAAAAATCAAAGTTCGACAATCTTGAATGACCAACAAAACAATATTCATACTATGACAATATTGTGAAACCTATTCCACACTAACTGTTAGATAATTGTCAGGAAAATAGAATTAAAAGCCAGTTATATTTCCACTTTGTATTGTCTTTTAGATGAAGCTACTGGTGTCTAAAAGAGAAGCCAACCTACCTCTCTTCTTGAAACTAGCCTGTGAGGAGCTACGTGTCTTTGGAGTCTTCGAAGAGGTCAGTATCTTCTCTTTATGTATTTTTTTTGGTCTGTCTGTGGGGGTAGTAGTTTGTTCCATGCAGCACAGATTCCTGGTCTCCACTTAATTACATGTGTTTGGTCATTGAGGAAAATTTCCCACTACTATCTAGGCTTAAGACACTTTAATGAGCATTAGATGATAAAGTGTAACAGAATGTTTATACAAATTTGAGTCTCTATCTTCATCAGAATACTGATTATACAATTCCTCATCATTCCTTTTTGGGCGCTTTGTTAATAATTTTATTAGTCCAGATATTACCCAATGATAATTATGAACACTATGCACTGTATTTCTGCATAGATGGCCCATAATACCATTCCACCCTACTTTTTATATTGAGAATTACAAGGTTCTGTATGAACTAATTGTAACTCTAGCCCCCATCAGACATCCTAAATAATCCTACTGCATTTTAGTGTACCGGTATACTATTTGATATGCCCTTCTCTTTTCATCCTAGGTTTCCACTCGTCTCAAGGCAATGTCACATACCATAGGCACACTACTCCAGGAGGTATTAAAGAGACTGGAAGATGATCATGGTCTGGATATGATCAACATGGCCCTTGCACTGCTTGTCTCCACAAGAGATGGTAAGCTACCAGTCTCATTTATCCAGTTTATTAATCAAGACTTGCTTAATTCCTTGAATCAACATCTATTTACACCTGAAAATACAGTTCTGTATGTTGAATGCGAAACTAAGAAAAATGTAATAGACGAATGGAAGCTAAAAACAAACGAATATGAGTTTTTATGATTTGATAGATAGTGAAAATTGTAAAGTCTGGTCATCAACATTTACTAGTCATTATGAGTTAAATCTGTGACAAAGAATTTCATAGTGGTGTTGGTGCATTAATAGAATAAAACACATTTAATTTCATCCCATCGTTGATTATTATTATTTTATTTATTTAGAAGCACTAATATTTTGATAAACATAATTTGAAGGGGGAAGAGTTTTCAAATAATACTGGACTGTTAATTTCATTTTCACTTATACTTATAACTTACCTGTAATTATTAAATGCATATTACACATTCATTTTAGGATTATACGAGGAGGATCTACATTACTTGCTAAGCCTACACCAGCAGATGAAAGATAGCAAGTACACCTACAAACAAGTGATAGGTACTGCTCTAGGCCCTGAGGTTATGCTCCCTCAGGCTGTCATGTCAAGACTAGTACGGGGGATCAGGTCTCTCCTCGCACCTACTGGGGAACACAGGTAAGGAACACAAACAGAACATTTTTTGTGAAGTTGGTGATTTTATTTAATATTTGAAGTTTAATGTGCCATTTTATGTTTGTTGTATTTCATTTTCATTTCATTTCATATATTTAACCAGTATAAAAACAATTTACAATGAAAATACAATATACAATATACAATATAATGGTTAGGACCCCTAAGAAGCAGAAATCTGCTTGTAATCGGGGCCCTGCAAACAAACAATAACAAGATAATGCACATAAATTAACAATACAAAGTAAAGGACTTAAATAATACAAGTACGCACCCGTACATCAACACACACGCACGTTCATAAAGGTTACAGAGAAAGAATAGAAGGAAGCGAAAATAGGGCAGAAAGAGATAAAAGTAGAAAAAAGATGGGAAAGAGAAGTACTTACTCAACCATGGATTGAAAAATACTTTTTTTATACATTGATTTAAATCTGGTAATTGTAGAACTGGATCTTAGGTCATAATTCAAGGAATTCCACTCACGTACCTTAACAAATGATATAGAATTATACATTAAAGTCGAGCGACAGAGTGGGTGATGTAAATTAATTGTTTGTTTTCCTTAACTTTTGTTCAAAGATTTAAACTGGTGATTTTATCAAGATAATGAAGTAAAAGAACTTGATTCAGATTATTACTAATTTGTTCAAATAGTTACCGGTATGAATTGATTCAATGTCTTAAATCAATTTTGATTTGTGTTAACTGACCCTGCTAATTAATTTCCAAAGGATATTTTTAAGGAAATATTGAGAGTGTTATTTTAGAGTCTTTTAGTTAATCAAGTAACATCTCAGGCTTCAAGCAAAAGTTATTAAATGATTGTTCACTCATTTAAATGGCATGTATGTCAAATCCATTAGGTTTCAGATTTTTAAAATATTTCTTTTGCTCATCTCTCTGAAAAAATAGAACATCTGTAGCTTAATGTTGCTTGTATATTTAAAAGAGATGGAAATCAAAAACTGTATCAATTTATTGTAAATTACACATTCCTCCTTGTTTACAAAATTCTTGCCAAGAAATTACTCACTTGTTGATTTCATGTAGATTTCTTCATCATGTAATTTACAAGCTGTCAAGCTTTTGTTTTTAAATTCCTCATATGTAAATTGCACACTTGAGTGTGTAAGTTTCATGCCAAGTATTTCCTGTGTAATATACAACCTGTCAATCAAAGCAGCATGAGAAGTTGATTGACCTACTTCCCTCTGAAGTAGGTAGTGTGCAAAATTGATATACAGATACAGGCTTTGTCATATGCTTCTATAGGTATAAATTCACTGCCCTTTTCCCTGTAACTTTTGTCAAAGTTACTGCAAGATCTGACTTATATGCATGCAAAAAAGTGAAGAAGAAGAATAGGCTTCATGAATCGATAATAATAGTAAATAGCTATTCTTTTTGTGTGAAGTAGATATATGTTACACTTGCTTTGAGATTATTTTATTCATTTTCTGACTCTTGCAATATGAATGAAAGTTTTGTAATACATGTATATGGATATAGGATTTTTTTTGTAATCAATGAATGAATGTGACTTGAATAATCCATTGCTTTTATATTTGTTGATGAAACCTTAAAGATAAGTTACGGTTATATTGATTTGGACATGAATATGAAATATTTTCCCTTAATCTTTGATGTTTCTTCTGCAGTGACCATAGACTAAGGGTCAGTCACGGTCAGATCAGCCAGGCCATTATCCAGCGCTATATGAAGGGAGCTGCGAGTGAACTCCAGATCAGAACTCATGCCCTGCTTGCAGGTAAAACAAATTTAACTTTTATCATGGAAATTGCAATTGAAAAACTTTGGTTATTTGTTATTTGTTAAATATAATTTTGTAAAGATGTGTTAGTAGCAATCACAAAGGAAGGGAACACATATCTCGGTTTATTTCTTAATGATGTACATATTTGTTAACTTTCTGTGGTAAACTTTTAGTTGACAATTTTATTTATAGAGATTCTGTAACATCCTTATTTTTATAAAAATGTCACATACCGTAAATTCATGACACATTTTCATGCACCCCAAATTAAGTGTTGATTCTTTGATATCATGGCATCTTTTAGCTATTGGATTTGTAATTTTTAACCTCTAAGTGGACTTATAAAATACCGGTAATGAAATGCATATGATCATGGATTTGGTCATATGAAAATCAAGCTCAACAATGACTCAATAGTGGTATTTGCATTTGGCTATTATACCTGTGCTGATTGTATGATAACACCAACCATTCTTAATCTTTCTCTTGTTTGCAGGTTACTTCACTCACCTATCCAGGACCAAGAACGCTGTGTCTCCGTGGTCTCCACACTACCCTCATGCTCTCTCTGAGATGCCTTATCATCTGGTACAGGCCGGATTGTTTGGAGAGCTCAAGAACGTCTTGTCCGATCCATTCTACATCCAGGCCAAGTGTGTCTCGGGGCTCACAGCTAGTCTGCTGGAAGACTTCCAGGTGAGATGTTATGAAGTTATGATGATGATGATAACAGTTATGGCAGAGACAATGGTTATGATGATGATGATGATGACGATGATCATTATTGTAATGAGGATGATGATGGTATTGGTGGTCCTGGTGTTGATAATGACACTCCCCCCCCCCCCCCAATTAGAATGTAACAAGAGGAACAAAAGTTTAGTTGGTATCATAAGATAGTAGCCTTCCTTAAATTCCACCTTCAACTTTAATTTTGTCTAACCTCTTAAACAGGCAAACACCTCCACCACTTCGAAGGCCATCCTACGCGAACGTGAGAAGTTCCTGACCAACCCTCTCATCGCCAGCCTACGCTCCTTCGTCTCTCGACACCTCCACATCCTGACCCTCTGCCCTGGGTTGCTATGGCAACAAGCCATGAATGAACCAGACAGCTCGCTGGTACGTCATACTGTGCTGGAGTCTGCTGGATGCAGAGAGAAGGGTATTGTTGCGTGGAGGAACAAGAGAGAAACGGCTGACGAGTGCTCCATGACCCTAACCGGATTCACCGATGTATGTCCTTAATTTATTTTTGTTGTCAAATTCTACTTTATGTTTTGATTTTATTCTTTTTTATTTGAATGCAAAAATGATGTTCATTTATGTTCAAGATTAGTCAAATCTCACTTTTTTCTTTAAACTACAAGTATTTTTCCATGTCAAATTTATAATTCTAATCTTCTTTGTTGTGACGAACATGCCAAAGGAAAGAAAGTGCACCCTTCCCCCCCCCCCCCCTTATTGCATTAGAGAAACTAAGCTTCTATAAAAAGGATATCTCTGTCATTGACATAACAAAAGGAAAGTTTTATTGCTACATTGCCTAAATCAGATTTTTATAGTGAAAGTTACATACACCTTCGTCAATTGCCCTGGGGAAAAGATTAAGTCTTGTATTAATGCTGAGGACTTCTAACGAATATTTTTTTTTGTATTTCATGATGAAGGAATGCACACTTCCACCTTTATTTGATTAATTTTCCTCCGTTATCCTTCAGGCTGTTCTGTGTGTTGCTATAGCTCCAGGTGATCAGGTCTTTGCAGTTGGAACGAAGAATTGCCAGCTCAAACTCTTTGAGATGGATACTGGAAAGGTATGTAGTACTTCTACCAAACCTGGCTCATGGAAGAAGAAAAACAACAAACTCATGAAAGAATGAAGACAACAAACTCATTATCAATTATATATGTGGATTTTGATGCATGTATGTCAGAATCCTTATCCATGATCCTTATCCTTATCATGATTAAAAACCTGTTCATATCATTCTTGTAGTTCAAAATGAGTAGACCCCCCCCCCCATACCCCAAGAAAGAGAAAAGATAAGTATACTCCCATGTCAATCCACTATGCTCTTCAGGTAACAAGACAAAGAATTAAGTTATTTTACTTTAATGAAGCCATTTATTGTCAAAGCAAATATCTGCAAATGCTAAATGTCAGCTGTTGTAATTCTTTATATTTATTTTTTAAAATCAGGAATTGAAGAGTTATATTGGACATTCTGATGCTGTGACATCGTGTTGCTTTGTTGGCCGGACCCGTCTTGTCTCTGCCTCACGTGACAAAACCCTGAGTCTGTGGGATGTTGATCAAGGCTTCAGGTGAGTGTCCACAATATAACTTCTTTTAGTCAATTGCATGATAAACATGGTAATATAATAAATATTCTTTAAATGTCCTAAATGTAATATTGGGAACTAAGGTAGAGTATTGTGGAGAGCACTCAGCTTTTACGTATCATTTCTTTCATTCAGTAACGGTACTTCATGCTATAGCAATTTTTCCAGTTATATTCTATTTTTCTCCATTTATATGCTGACATCAATCCAAATCTTCTGCCTTACCAGTCATGATCAATGTGTTTTGTCTTATGTCACTCTCACATTCTCTCTCACTCTCTCTTTCTCTCTCACTCTTTCCCTTACTCTCTCTTTCCCTCTTCCTTTTTTTTGTGTGTATTCATTTTTGTGTCCCTCTCGAATAATTAAACTTCTCTCATACTCTCTCTCTCTTCCTTTTTCTTTCTGTCTCCCTTTCTATTTTACTCCATTTACAATTCCTTTCTTGCCTCTATCCCTGTCATCACCATGTAGGGTCAACATTCTGAAGGGTCACAGGGGACTGGTCAGCGGGTGTATCTCTGACCCCAAGGGTGTCAACCTGGCCTCCTGCGGCTGGGATTGCCGTGTCCTCATCTGGGATGGACGCAGCGGCAAGCAGACCACGGACATCACCGAGCCACGCCCTATCAGCTGTCTGTCCTACCACCCTGAAGGGAAGCTTCTCGTCACGGGGTCGTGGGATTCCACACTCAAGATCTGGGATACCTTCAACAAGAAGAGAGTAGCTGTAAGTTGACTTACTATGCTAGTGTTATCTTGAAAGGAAAAGTATGCTCAGTCAGTCTTCAAGATAAATTTACAATTCACTCTTTGGAATAGCATGAAATCAAACCTAAATTTCTGAAATTCTCAGTTTTTACTGAGCCCATTATGTATGAAACAAATCATGATACGGGGATCCCTTCTAACTCTGTAGGTTGATGGTGCTTACATCCCCTTTGAAAAACAGCTTATAGCTGACAAGGGCAATCCATCCCATGAGTGGAGAATAGATAAATAAATAAAAAAATACTAATTTCTGTAAAGTTATTTCACTCATACCCCAAAGCGACTGATAGTCAACAAATCTTGGCCATTCAGGGGTAATGTAATTATATAAATTTGATCTTTTGTCAGTTTGGTGTCTGTCTCATGGATGTGACCTGGATTATAACTCAGTTATTTCCACAACCTCTCTGTAACACTCTGTAGTCTCTCCAACTATAATGTGTATCTATCATTCAATCGTGATTTAGAAAATATACATTTATGCACAATTTTGGTTTGAACATTGCAGATTCTGCGTGGTCACCATTCTTCTGTACGTGCCGTGACCTATTCACCGACTGGTCGTCACATTGCCTCGGCCTCACTAGATGGCGCCGTCAAGCTCTGGTCAGCAGACACTGGAACACAGGTCAGTATCCATCATCAGACATAATTTTGAAGAAAAAAAAAGGGCTGGAATTCAAGAAGGAAGATTGTCACGACATGGGTTTGAGTTCAGTGAATTGAGGAAACACATGTGGGTACTCAAATCATGTCCAATGAATTGGCAATCACGGTATGCTTGTTTTTCTCCATGGTGGAGGTTGATACCATTTTTTTAGGCAACCGTGTAAATTGAAACGTCCTTTGTGATACCCGAACTAAATTGTTGAAGTTTCATATCTATCTACTTTCAGTGAACACGAAACACTTGTGATTGAAAATGCCAAAGAATATGTAGAAAGAAAGCCCTATTTATTCTAGTTCCTGTAAGATTAAGTACAACTCCCTTGGAGTTTAAGTTTGTAGACCCCTATCTAAGTCACCTTCTTTAAAATGTTCATACCAAGGAAATATTGCAGTACCTCTTTTGTATAATCATGTAATGGCATCTTTGATTTTGGTACTCCATTACAGGTCGGCAGTCTATGCGGACATTCGCAGCCGATCAATCACATTGCCTTCTCAAAGAACGGAAGAGAGCTGGTCACTGTGAGCAACGACCACAAGACAAAGGTAATACTGGATCAATATTACTTACACATACAATCTAGTGCGAAGGCATTGGTGAGATGGATAAATGAGCATGTTGATAGAATGATGGTGGCGATAGACGTGGTAGTGTTGAAGCTTGGATGATGAAGAAGTTGAGGGTTATGATGATCGATGGTGATATAGTCATTAGGGAGATTGGGTTGTGCAAATAAGAAAGTTACATATATTCATTTCCATTAACAAAATACATACATATAAAAGGAACTGATAAAACAGAACAAAGTATCTTTTTACCACACTTCAGAAATTTCTTCAAACATAAGTTATTTAAATGTGAATCAAGTTCCACACTCTTGACGCTTCACCTCATACTTCCGTTTCTTACCCTTCTCAGATCTGGTCAGGCAACCTTGGCAAGCAGCTGGCTACCTTCAAGGGCAAGGATGAATCGGCATCGACCCAAGCTGCCTTCAGCGCCGATGGTGAGTTCGTTGCCATGGGATACCACTCCGGAGAGGTCAAGGTCATCGAGGTCGCAAGCAAACGTGAGGTGTTCACCTGCCAGGATAGAGAGTCAAGGGTCAAAGGCATAGCTTGGTTATTAGGAATGAGCATCCTGGTGGGCTACGAGAGTGGGCATGCTGTGGTAAGCTTTCCTGAAACCTGTATTCACATTTAAACTATTTTTAGCAATTAATAATTATACGTCTGATAGTCAAGAAAGGAAAGCATGCTTTTGGTTCACTTTATAGAATATAAAAAATAAAATTTTTTAATGTTGTACCATTGTCAGAATTAAATTGTATTGATAATGTATTTGTATTTAAATATAGGCAGGCCGAATCATTGATTTAAAAAGAAGTAATAGAATCATATTTGTATCGAAATGTATGTCTAATTGGTCATTGAAATAATTTGTGCGGTTGTACACACCAATGTCTAGAAATGTATTGAAAGAATGTGAAATTCTCAAATGAGAATCACATGTATCCTTCATGTTACATATATCTGGATGATTATGATGATTATATCTTTTAATAATCTTTCCTTGTGTCTTTTTCTTAATCGGTCATCAAATTTTTCTCTGAAATTTACAATTATAGATTTTCAAGGATATTGAAACTACCAAGCCAGCTGTAGTCCCACTCAAAGCAAACCATGCAGCCATCACAAGCCTGGCTTACTGCAACGGCAGCTATGTAGCTGCTATCACCTATGATAACATGTGTGTCGCTCTGTGGAAGAGTCCAATGGATGCCAAAGGTGGAAAGGAAGGGTATGTATGCAGGAATATGTCAAGTATTCACATTTCATGAACAGATGTTAGTTTAGTGCTTAAAGATAAAGACCAGTTATGGTCATGCGATTGCATTGTGAAAGAAATGTTGTGGAATTGATCAGAAAAGGTTGATCATCTAGCATATAAGTATTGGTGTGTACTGCAAGGTTCTGGAATCATCAAAATGATAAGAAATTTGGCCCAGTCTTGGTAGAGTAACAAGCACTGTATGCAGAAAGATGTATATGGGACTATGCGCACATGCGTGACATGTGCACGATATCTATCAGGTCCAAATAGATATAATAATTTACCAAATACATCAATTAGTAGGCAAATTTTCAGCAACATTTGTATCATCACGTATTAGTCAAAACATACATGTACTCTTTCACATGATTGGTAATAAGAGCTTCCATTTCATTTTTTGAGAGGGGGCATTTCCAAAACTGATCTTTACCTTTAAGAAATACCCAAATATTGAAGCATTACATTATAGAAGCATGACCTGTACACAGGCAGTAGTGAGATTAAAACATTTTTATTACAAATATGGAATAATTGACTTTTGTGGTTTGTAGCATTACAAAATACTAAAAATTAATGAAACAAAGGTGCACAAATTTTGCGTTGAAATTCAACGACATGTTTACCTACAAGCTGGAACTAAATATTTTCAACATGTGATTGTAGAGTAAAATTCAGAAAAAAAGATATATCAATATTTTTTGGATGTAATAACAAAGACTGGATTTCGAATACAGGTGCTTAGTTCTGACCATTCTAGAATGATGGTTCAATGTAACAACAATGGAAATGCAATTTCTATAATTTCCTACAAATACAGACCAAAGATGAAGTAGATAAACGCTAACAAATTAAACCTACATGTGAACACGATATATAAACCTTCTTGTACAAATTCTTTTCTGTTACCATTTTAACTGAAGACTTCTGATGCAAAAAAAAAAGGATTTATGCATCTATTGAGGATTGCTGCACAAAAATGTTCAGTTTTAAAACAACAACAACAATTAGATAACAATCCAGTTAAGATAAAAAAAAATAACTTCAGATTTGCTTCCTCGCAATGTGAATTTTTACTTTGGGTGTGTTTGGACACTGTTTATTAAATGTCTAATATTAGGTGATTTGTTATTCTCTCTTGCAGGATCGAGCCTACATACTTACTGCATCCTAAGTGCAATGGACTCATTACCTGCTGTACATTCAATCAGTATGGCACCAGATTGGTTCTAGGAACAAGAGATGCGGTGAGTAGTTTAAAATTTATTGTCACTTTATACCTTGGTTTGGAGAGCTGTGTTTGTGTTTTCTTTTCATCCTATTCTTTCCTTATCTTCATTTTGTTTTCATATTTATTCTTGATTTCTTTCACAGATTTGTATCTGTAATATCAGTCATTGTAAACACCTTGTACACTTCAGAGATGTTTAAAAATTTCTATGGAGCTGTTGTTTCTGGAGTTGATGGACTTATATGATATAACTTAAAGTGACTTGGTAACATTGTTGAAGGTAGATTAAAAAATTACGTAATTTTGGTATGAAATGTTACTTATTATCTTCCTTCTACTGTACTAACCCTCTAACATGCAAAAAATCCTGAAAAAATTCTCAAACCACAAAGATATTAATGGTTTTCTAAGAAGGCGACACTGGTTGACACCCTGTAACAGTGATCTACAGTAAATTCTCCCAACCATTTTGAATTTTCCCAACCGTTTTTCCATGAAAAAAAGACATAAAACAGGCAATAAAAAATATGTCAACACTCAAATGTCTGGAATGGTATGTAGAGCCAAATTATTTTGTGACAATTTACATTCACATAGAATGTAATTAAATTGTAATAATATAGTTGGGAGAATTAAGGAATCGATCAGATCAGTTTTTCCCAGTTTGTATCAGTAATAATGGTCCGTTTTCACTCAAATTTTCAGATTATCTTTAATTGTACATCTAGCATTGAAGTCACGACCTTGGCACCCCTTTCTCTCATCTTAACAATGTTACAAAGTCCCTTTAACATACATACATACATAAACGTTTCTAAACCTCAAAAACATATCTATTTCTCACAGATGTTGTTCATGTACGAGATCAATTACGGAAAGCCCACGTCAAAGCCGATCCTTCATCTCGACAACTGCCACAAGGATTGGATTAATTCTTGCGCTTGGTCTCCAGCTACTGACGTGTTGGTAAGTAAATCTCATCAATTGCAATCCTCTTCTATGTCTGCTAAGGCAAAGTGGATGAATGCTTCACTTTGTTCTATTGCTAGTTCTTGCATACAAAGTAAGTAGAGTGCTGTGAATATTATAGGGATGATTATATCTCTTATCATCATTATGTATCTCAGTGACTAGCATCAGGAACAAACAGTTTTGCGGGGGGAAAAAAAAATCACACTTTGAACATTTGTCCAGAACCATTAAAATACTCTCAAATTGCAGATAATTTTCATTTTTATTGCTTTAAATCTTTATTTCTAGAAATAGTTATAGAATACCGGTATTGTGCTATTTTTAATAAGAACTATGTACAGTATTACAAAACTTTTGTAAACTAGACATTTTATCGAAAATAATATCGCTAGTGACATTCGTTTGTCTCGCAATGTATGGTCAACAAAGGATCATAAGATCACAACATTTTATTACAAAATATCGCAGATTGAGATTGCTTTTCAATGTGAATAATTTTTTTAAATACTTTCTTAAAATAATTTTCACGTTGAGAGACATACATATTTAAAAACAAGGCAAATTATCATCTATCATGATTTATACTGTCTAGGTATATAATGCATTCAATTCTACATTGCTTTTGCTTGATATGTGTTTTATTTGACAATTAAAATCAGGAAAAAGAGCAATTCAAACACTATTTCTAACCAGTCCTATTTCTTAATGTTCCCTCCATCTTTCAGGCCACTGCGTCCAATGATTCTACCATCAAACTATGGGACATGAAGACCGGCAAGGTCAAGTGTCACCTCAAAGGTCACCAAGCAGCTGTGTACTCCGTCGCTTTCTCAGTAAGGCATTCTCTTTTATCCTAGCTCTAAATCTTAACTTTATCAAATATATACAGCACGTTTCTGCATTGTTCAGTTTTGTACATGAATATGACACTGATTCAGATAGGACATTAAATGGCGGTCCCATGTAGAAGTGAGTCATCACCAGTATATTAAGAACCCGCTACACTATTCTTATAAGAGTAAGGGTAAAATCTGGTGTAGTGGTTCACCTGCACATCCCCAATCAGTAGTACTGGGAGGAGAGACCTGAGGGGTACAGTGATTCAGTTCGTTTCTCCCCTCCCAGGCACAAGTGATGCCAAATCTTTATTTATAATAATGATAAGCATCAGAATTTTAGTCAGCAAAGCATTATTCTGCTTGTTGCACACATGTTCATGGTTATTGTAGTACATGACATAGTGTACCCCTGAAACTGTCCCAAGAGTTTACTACATCTGCTTTTGTTCTAGCACATCCATTTCAAGTAAGATTCTTGGAAAAAATGGTATTACGTATAGTTATATCTTTACCAAAAAACTATCCTAATGAATGTATTAAACACCCGAAAGCTATAAACTTTTAAATGAAATAAAAGTTATGTAGAATGTTTCAACCAAGACCCTGTTGCTTATTCTATTCCATGTAACCTTTGGTCATTCCTTTGCAGCATGGTTGCGTTGTATCGGGATGTTTAGATGCATCGGTCAAGGTCTGGTCTCACCGTGGTGTGGAGATCACCACTCTCTACGGTCACTCTCAGAAGGTCAACAAGGTGGACATCCATATACCTAATGCGGACCCTGATGTACCCATAAAAGGTGAGTAGACTAGTGGACGATGAAAACCCCATTAATCTCAACAACAATTAGTATGTGGTAGTTTGCTTTGTATCAGGATGTTTAGTTGCATTGATCATGGATTGGTCTCATCCACAGAAGGTTAAGAATTTGGACATGTACTGTATGAACCTACTCGGGAAAGTGGCGAGTACTTTGAATCTGATAGTGATGATGGTGTTGTTGTAGTGGTGGTAGTGATGATGATGGTTGTGGTGGTGGTGACAAGAGTGGCAGTGTCAGTGGTCATGATGTTGATGGTGCTGTTGTAGTTGTGGTGGTGATGGTAATGGTGGTGGTGATGACGGTAGAGTTAATGTTGGTGGTAGTGGAGGTGGTGGTAGAGAAAATGGTGATGGTAATAGTGGTAGGCATTTTATTGGTAGTAAGGATGGTGGTAGCAATGGTAGTGGTAGGGATAGCAGTGAGAATGATGGTGGTGGTAGTGATGTTGCCGATTGAAGAAGTAGATTACAGCACTAGTGTATAGTTACCCACATGATGGTGATGATAATAATAATGGGTGACATTTACAACGATCATATAGATGAAAGTAATATGCTCTTCTTGCCGTAGATGATGTTGATAGCGATCATGAAGGCGAGGACGACGCCCCTGGAGCCAAATGGTCAGATGTCATGGATGAAGAAGATTGGAAGAACCGTCATGAGAAGAAGAAATTGGAGAAGGATTCTGATGTCAATCTGGAAGATGTCATTATTGCTTCAGCCAGCGATGATGGCACCACGCAACTATGGAAACCCCTCCAGGTTAGATTTCTCGTGACTGATTTACTGACGTCTCTTTAACTTTGCTGTGTCACTACTACTCTTGTACTTGATGAACTGTTGTTAATTCTCTTCTTTTTAAATCAGATAGTGATGTTTTTCAGTGACAGTAGGAATATTCTACCTCTGGTAACTTCTCCGTTCTTTTCTTCCTGTCTGCTCCTTTTCTTCAATAGTGTTTCTTCATCTGTTGTTCATTTCGGTTACTTCTTCTCCTCCTCCTTTCTCGTATTGTTTGTTTCGTTGTTCTACATCTCCTTCTCTTCCTTTTTTCTCCTCCTTCTTCTCCTTTATTTCTTTCTTTTCCTCCTCCTCCTCCTCCTCCCACTCCTCCTTCTCCTTTTCCTTTTCTCTTCCTCCTTTTCCTTATATACATATTTTTGTAATTAATGAATAAGAATCTCATGCCATTGAAACTCTTTTCTTAAGGTCTCAAATTGGGCATCTTTAGTTGGATCTAATAAGGAGAATCTCACAAATTCAAGCTATTCTGTGAGTCTGCTACTGGCCATCTCCCTTCAAAACGCACATCAGATTATATGTGCATGCTCTCATGCTCTTCAGTATTTACTGTCTACATACAATGCATAACGTCAGAGCATATCCATATGACTTGCCAACTTTTCCAATACATAATCTGCTTCTGCTCTTTAAAGAATTAAGTACTCGGCATGTATCATATCATATTGAAATTAATACCTTTTCTTCCATCTTTAAAAAAGATAGAGTGTTGGGTTTTAATTTTGCAATATATTTTAGCCCATACAATTTTAATTTTAAAGTGAGTTGGGATTTCAACTGATGTACAACATTTTGTTATGATTATTATTATTATTATTATTTTATTATTTTTTTGTTTGGGGGGGGGGGGGGAGATAATAATGATAACAATCAAATTTATGGCAAAGTGATTGGAATTATTGTATATGCCAAGATTTTAGTTTCTGAGCTACAATATTCATTTCTCTTTCATTTTCTTTCTTTTTTGCATTTGCACCATGAGGAATGCTGTCAAAATATTTTGTCGTTTGTCATTTTTTAATCTATAAAAGGAAAGAAAGGAATGAGCATACTTGAATGAAGTGCATTGGTTTTAAAAATAGATGGTGGTACCTAGTAATCAAAGAAATATATATATGTAAAAAAGAGACCAAAGCTTTACAAGAATTGGTTCTATGTATTATGGACAGGAAAAGCTTTCAATTCTCCCAGTTCAAGCTATCATATATTGCATTAATCAGTCATGTTTACATTGTCAAGTCAAATGTCTTGATATCACAGTAATGTCTTGAATAACATCATGAATGTCATTAATTCTTCCTTTTATTATTATGATTTTTAAGTATGTTGTATTTGTAGCATGAATACATCTTGTTGAAAATAGTGAATGTCTAGGTAAATGTGGTGTGGGAATGCTATAAACCCTGCACAACAGATGCAAAGTCATGGGTTGAGGCCCTGGTATGACACTTGATCATGGCCTTTATTCATTTATGGATTCACCCCACTATTGCAGATGTAAAAAATGGGTATTTGGTAGGGAGAAATTTGTTGGATGTTATGAGCACTGGAATCAATAGCCTAGCTTAAGCCGGTGAAATATTGGGACAACTTGAGCACTGTCCATGGTGGATTTAAGCGCTATACAAGAAATCCTTGATCTTTTATTATTATTAAATGTATTAAATGTAAAATTCTAATTGTGATATAATTTGTTTTCCTTTTTTTTTGCGTGCATGCCAGAGCATAATTATACCCCAAGCAATGTAGCCTGACTTGTTTTCATGTCTTCCAGTGGTCTTACTTTTTATTCAGATCTTATCCACAATACTGTCAACATGATATCCTAAATGTGATTTTGTTTCAGAGCAATGAACTGACTACTCTGATTGGTCACTCAGACCGGGTATTGAGTGTCGCCATGGCAACCAGCGGTCAGGTGGTCACTGCCTCTATGGATTGTACAGTTAAGATCTGGACTCCTCAGGTATGTAAATAGTATTCCCTTTGTAGCACTTTTATTCAACTCCTCCATGTATTGTCATTTTGAATAATATGTGAAAAGAAATACTGTTAACTCTCATCTTCCAAAGTCACTTATTGAGGATTTAGGGGTGTCATGCCGAAGTTGCCCGTTGGGACCCATATACATTTACACATGTTATCTTAGGGACGTTGCGCTACTATGTATTATATCTTGATGTAACCCACTGAATTTTATTATCTGTAAACAATTATTTTACATGTTGAATAAATAAAACCAACATCCAACAACGAATTTTGCTTGTTAAATCAGTGCTTCATCATAAAGTTATAACATCTTCTGTATAGAAGCATTTCTGATGTGATAGTGGATAAGTAGTACATTTATATTTAATAAAAGTGGCGTCCTGTGAACTTACTCCTGACAGTATTAAGTCAAGTGGTCTTGCATCATGGAAAAAAAAGGGTTTTGATATTATTCAGTGAATTAGCATTACATGCATGCCTTCTCACATGTTTTTAGTATGTTATGGCCGCTGTCCCATGACACTTGTATATGTATATGTAAATGTGAAATGGCTAAGGCTAGGTTCCTTATTGAACACTTTTTTTATTCTAACTTTCTACTGCACAGGGTCTATCTCTAGCTTGCAGCTCTGAATTTTCGAATTTTTGAATGTTGACGACTCATTTGTCTTTTTAACCACGGGCAGTCACTGTTCTTGATATCCTGTACTCTACCTCTACCTCATCTCTTCCCTCCCAGAGCTCCTCGTTTTCTGTCACCTTCTCTTTTCTCCCTCCTTCTCTCTCTCTCCCTCACATTCCTTTCTGTTCTACTCCATTCGACTCCTCTCTCTCTCTCTCTCTCTCATTTGTTCTTTTCTCTCTCTCCTCATACCCCTTTTCTGGGAGAGAAGGGGCGAATGTTTCAGAGCACTTTTAAATTCATTTATTCAATGCATTCTGTGCATTATCAAGATTCATTTTTAAATGCCAGTTTTCAAGTTTACATGTCAGCTTTGTTAATGCTATTATTGCTACTATTATTGTTATTATTATTATTATTATTATTGTTGTATTTTCTTTGTATCCTCGAATGTATTTATATATTGTTTATGTTGTTTGCACGTCACTCGCCAGTGGAGGACGAATTTCTGTATTTTTTTAAATCAGACAATAAATTATCTTGAATCTTGAATCTTGAATGTATTATGTACCCTTCTAAGTATTGTTACTCTTAACATTTCTTCTCAAAATTGACATTTAATGTTTGATATTTTACTCCATTGTAACATCTCTTTGCTTTTCTTCTCTCATGATATTTTTGAACATCCATTCACAGCTCTCTCCGGATCTTGTCCACGTAGGAGCCCATGATGCTGAAGTATCCGCAGTCGCTATATCAACAAAGACCAACTTTGCTGTCACTGCAAGCAGGTCAGAACAAATTTCAAACAATCTGTCCTGAGAACCTTTAATAAATATAATATTCTGTTGAGTTTGTGGGCGCTATACTGTACACACTTCTGTTTCTTCACAATTGGCATTTTACTGTAAATTAAATTGCAAGCTTATATAAAACCAAAATAGTTGCAACATATAAATCTACTATATATATATATATATATATGTGTGTGTTTGTTTTTTTATAACTGAGGTTATTCTTGGGTTCATGTAAATTTGTAATGTAAATCACTGTCCATGTTCAATAGCTTTTAACTTTTTTTGGGTCATCTTCTGCACACATTACATGTCGTTTATCACAGGAATTTGATAAGTTTGCATGGATTCCACTGCTCTCAAATCACAATATATTTCTTTGTATTCTATTCTGTTTTATTTATTTGTTACCAAAATGTTCAAACTTACAATGAATCCATTGTATGACAATTGAGCTTCATAGCCACACACATGTTGCTGTCTAAGGTGGATACATGATATGTTTTAATTATGTAATCAAAAATATTAACTTCACCACAGAATCAAATTAATTCAAACACAATAATAATTTGTTAAAAAAAGTAATTGAAAAGGTAAGTTATCATTTCTTAATCTCGATCCCTCTACCTTTTGTTTTAACTTTGTCTCTCTCGCATTTGTATTTGTTTTCACATTTGCCTTTGTATGTTTGCTTGTTTTATCAGGAATGGAAGTGCCTGTCTATGGAAGATCAATGGCTCTAACAAGGGAGAAGGCCAAACAATGAAGCTCCTTCACACATGGATTGTAAGTATAACAAATTATTACTCTAGCATACAAGACCGTACTGTGCAATGTAGTGCAATGTAGAAGGGGAATAGTGGATTGACATTTTTGAGACTGTGTATAAGATTTTGCTGCTATTGTATTAATTTATATATTTTTGTACACGTTGTACTGAATTTGACAGGACTTATTTACAATATTTTTATTTTGATGCTGATACAAAACACAATCTAAAATGACAGTGAAAACTATAACTTGAAAACTTCTCTTCAAGAAAACTCTGTTAACTTTGGAAGATCATTTGCTTCACCATTGTATGTATGAGACAAAGTTAATGAAAAATTTAATTGTTCCAGATAGTTGGTGCAATACAATGCGTATTATCGTTATCATTATTATTATTATCATTATTGTTGTTGTTGTTGATGTTATTCACATATTTGTATTATGTCACAATTTTTAAAGACTTACATAATTCACAGACCCACCACACATTAGGCCTATGTATAAATAAAAATGAATGAATGAATTATAATGCAACATGAGTACATCTTTTTTCAAAAATTCATCTCTGCTTTTGTCCAAACCAGGCTGCAGAATGCTCCATCAATGCAATCTGTTTCATTGGAAAGCACATGACATTTGTCTTAGGCAAGGATGATGGTTTCCTTACACTGTGGAAGATACAGGAACTCAAAGACAAACCTGGATCCTACACAGCTGTGTAAGTACTATTCAGAAGAGTGAGTCACCGCAATATGTTGACACTTCCGTGGCTCTATTCAGTTTCAGTTTCAGTTTCAGTTTCAGTTTTATTTTTCCTTTCCAACAAAACAGTAATTTTGACAAGAAATCGGATATACAATTCAACATTCAATAATATAATACATTTTCCATGGTTTAAAGTTAAAGTTATTGATTTCTCCGTTCTCTTTGGATTGATAAGAGATTGCGAATTTTTCCTGAAATTCAGTTTTATTTTTCATTTCCAACAAAACCGTAATTTTGACAAGAAATCAGATATACAATTCAACATTTAATTATATAATACATTTTCCATGGTTTAAAGTTAAAGTTATTGATTTCTCTGTTCTCTTTGGATTGATGAGAGCTTGTGATTTTTTCCTGAAATTCAGAAGGTTGTCATGGAATTGAATGGTTGATCCTGTGGAACACAATTGGTACCAAGATATGTGGAGAAAAGCAAGCGTATTACTGAATTCTCTTGAAAAACCTTTTGTGAAACACCTTTTGTGAAACTTGTTTGTATAATTGTTCGGTACAAGGAGGGTTTGAAAAAAGTTAGAAAAGATGACTAGGAGAAATTTGTGTCAAGGATGTTGTTTAACCTTTAAATGATTTCCAATATGGTTGAATAGACCAATTTACTATTTACATATTCAAATTTATGGATGTTTCTTTCCTGGGGACCTAGTGTTGACTTATTCCATTAACCCGTTATTAATGAATGAACTAAAATACTTGTTGCTTTGTGGGGCAAGCCTTGGACAAGCTTTCAAGTTGTCAAGAACAACCTTTGTTTAAAAAAGTATGCATAAAATTAAATATGTTAGTAAACCGGTCTATTTTAATTCGTTCCCCCTTTGAATTAGGCTGTGTATTATCATATACCTTGGAATGGTTCCACAATGTTTACACAAGTGTCTGCTTCGGGCTATATATTTTAATTTACCATAATTAAAGGTGTATTAACTGCACCTTTTTGCCGCCGAAAAAAAATCAAAGTCGGGGGTGCAGCTTATACACGGTACAGACAAAAAAAAATAATTAAGTTTTGATTTATGCCCCTCCACCTGGCGCTATGCCTGGCAATGTCTCCCAGCTCAGTAATCGGTGTGTTGACTCACCACTCGGAAACTAGAACAACACTCAAATTTGTCTGTCATCTTGGTTTGAAAGTAATCTTTCTGATAGATCGCCATATGTAGTTAATAATAATAATTCCTCCAATTTTTCTTCTATTACACGGCGTACCACAAGGTTCTATCCTAGGTCCTCTGTTTTTTAATTTACATTAATGATCTTACACATTCACGAGGGCGGTTTATACACCGTTAATTACGGTACATTTCCTTACATCCTTCCATCCCATGCCTGTTTCTGTTTGTATCATCAGGAGAGGGAAGAACCGTTTCTTGAATGTCTACGCCTTCACCTCCATGTCGAGCCCAGTGACTTGTCTGAAGTACGATGATGCTCAGGACATCCTGCATGTTGGAACCTGGAGCTCTGTCATCACCCTCCGTGGTTTCACCTCCAACAAGATCAAGCAGAATGCCAAGAGGTAAGGACAAATTAATTTTTTGTAGAAAGTCCCAAATTGAGGTTTAGGTATGGGAGTAGAGGGAGGAGAGTTAGGGGAGGGGGGAGGGGAGTTGAGGGAAGGGAGATAATTGGAAAGTGGTAATTTAATGTTTTTTAAAGGCCATTTTGGTTTTGTATGCTTGATCAAACCGTAACATTGTATCTACATTCTTTAATTAATTATTGATGATATTAAATGCAGTTGTTGGATGATACTCAAGTTGTAGACAGATTAACGAATATACAATGATACAGTGAATCCTGTCTATAAAGACTACCCATGGGAAACAACAAATGTTTTCTTTGTAGAAAGGTGATCCCTAAAGCAGGTTTGACTTTACCAGCTTTAAATGCACGTAAAATGCAGTACTTCTCAGTGAATTGAAGTGAATTTAGCTAACACATATATATTCTGATTTATTGAAGATTAAAGAAAAGGCAGGAAGGAAATGCTGGAGATACATGACGATATATTATATCTACGTTCTTTCCCGACATTAATGGTTTCAGTACCAGTATTTTAACTTTGTCCTTTACTGTTATTTATATTATTTCAAAGGAAATTTTGAATGAGTGCATTGGGCCATAAATGTAGGAATATTTAAATCAAGTAATTAGAATATGAATAAATTTATTGATAAAATAATGCATAACTAAACTTTGTTCTACATATAGTGTGTCTGACTGGGTGTTGGACCTGGCTCTCATCAAAGAGAAAGGTGTTGCTGCTTCCCTCTGTAATGGCACAGTGGCATACTGCAAGGAGGTATGTTCATTCTCTGTGTTACTTGCATCCTGGTGTATAATCTATTTTTATTAATGTTCTCATTTTTAATTGAAGTTTGCTTTATATATGGAAACAGAATCGTTATAGCATTTTTCTAAAGTGTACATTGAAATCACATAGAGTTCTTCAAAGATTTGAATGTTCTTCAAGGAATGTATTTCAAGAGAAGATTATAGAAACAATTGAAAACTTTCATCTTCACCCCCTATGCTTTTGTCATAATATCTTATCTTTCTCATCTTTCATGTTATCTTCAATTTACTCATGTTTTTCCTTTTTTTTTTCATGGTCTTCCTTGTCCTTGTTGTACTGTTGCATGATCATAATCTTCTTCATTTTTATTCTGCTTTCTCTCCTTCCCAAATTTTTATTTGATGTAATGATGTGTGGCCAGTATTTCAAATGACCCCTTATTGATTCTTAACCACATTTTCACATTCGCTTTAATAACAGAAATCAATCGAGACGCTCGATGTATCTTACCTGTCTCCATTCTTCACGCCCTGGTGCCACTCCCTGATCGTCCCTCCTCCTGAAATTGGCAATGCCAAAGGTTTCCTGATCGGAGACTGGTCTGATGGTCTGATGATGCATGTTGAGGAGGACAGGAGTGTCCAGGTTATCAAACAGGTAAGAATATAAAGTCATGTTTTGGGGGGAAAGAGATGATAAGAATTAATAATTATAGGCATTTCTATAGCGCCGTCTATCTAGAAATTCTATTCCGAGGCGCATTAATTATTACCCCGGCTTTAGCCTAGCTGCCATTACAGCGCTCTACCATTTCAAGGAATTTATTCCTACCAGGTACCTATTTACTTCACCAGGGTCTAGTGTTGCAAATGAAGATTAATGCCTTGACAAAGGACATTAGTGCCATATCGGGGATCGAACCACGACCTTTGAGTTGAAGTTAGGTGCTTAAACCACTCGACCACGACATTTCTACACCTAAGCTTTGGATTATCACTCATAACTTTTAAGATACCAGGCTCATGCATTGTTATTTCTTTTGTGTAACTTCTTTTCATTTCTTATTCTTCAAACCTCTCGTTTAATCTTTTAATCTTAACTAACAAACTTTATACCTATATAATGTATCAAAATTATTTTTAAAATACATTTCAAAGCTTGAGGGATGTGCACTGAATGTATCTGTCACAGTATAACGTGTTATTGGTTTGTATTACATGCATATTGAAATGGTTTCCGGCACATTTTCTCTTCCTTCCTTCCTAATGAACATATGGACATAATATACAAGACTTATTCCATTTTAATCAGATATAGCATGGATGCTGTACCATCGTTCTAAAAGTAATTTGCATGTTAAATGATTTAGTATTGGGATTGATGGAAAATTGATCAGTTCATCATCTCAATTTAAAGATGGGACTTTTACATTGCTGGACTGGCGCTTGTCAAACTATTAACAAATTTCCCATTTTGTACTGTTTGAGGGTGAGCCACAAGAAAATGATGGATTTATAAAGATGGAGATATCAAATCAAGATTGGTTGATTTACAGGTGTATTCTTTGAGATATATCTGATCAGAAGTGATTGATTTACTGTCCTTGTGATGACCTTTTGATAGAAATATATTCTCTGAATCTCATTGCTGACAAGGCAGTTACATATAAAGAGGAAACAGTTTATCTTTATTTTGGATAGCAATTAGAAAGATCAACATTAAAATCTGGAGACAAAAATTTCCAAAAAAAAAAAAAAAAAAAAAAAAAATATGTGACTTGTCAAAGAAGCCATTTTTTCTTAAATAATTTTTCTCTTTTGATGTATATAATTTTCTGAGATAATGTATCTGGAAAGTACATTAAGATGTATTAAGAATTAGATAAATCCAAACAAATTATTTTATTTTATTAAACTACCTGACATTGGGATGATTTTTGCATGTTATACTGTGTGAGGTTACAGTTTAGTTGATGGATGAAAGTGTTTGAAAGTCTACATCAGGCAGCAAAGATTGCATTATCCCTTGATATCATTTCCCACATGTTCTTGATTTCCCACAAATATTGAAGTAACCGTTGGAAATAATCCACACAAAGAGAATGATCCTATTCTGGGCGACATTTTCATGTGATTGACCACAAGTGGTACACCATAACTTAGCATCCATCATCTGCCTGTACTATTATTAGCATCCTGTCCAGAAAATTTGTTGATTTGCTTGCTTTGCATGACAATAACATGTTGGAAATTGATTTAATGGCACAAAGGGAATGAAAATTGGGCCCAACCTTTATTGCAACAGATGTGAAAGTCATAAGATCAACCGCACAAAGAGATAATTCCAATCCCCTCGTAGCCCACATGAATCTAACACGGACGGCTCTGTCATCTCGCAAAGATCATGCCGTAATGGAACCAAATTTCCTGGATATTTAACCTATCAGCCGTAGATCTCTAGTACCCCAGTCAAAGAGAGAGGGAATTAGTCTATATTACATGTACTAGTGGGGGGCTTTGGAGATATAGGTGGTGATAATCCATAGGATATATGGTGGGGAGGGGGTGCCTGCTCTCCCCCCCCCCCCCTTTCCCACCAGGTGTGACTGATGGCATGTTCAGTTTAAAAGTTAGAAAAAAAAGATAACCGAGAACTAGATTGTGAAACTGTATTTAATAAAATAGTTTTGACTGATATAGGTCAGTCTCTCTTAGTTTTAATTCTAAATGGGATGGGAGAAAGCAGTACAAAAGATGGTTGTACCCATTTTACCCCATTGGTGCTTTTTCTTGTTATGTCGATGAATGAAGCACACATTTGTCTTTGAGTTGTCTCAAGTCTTTACTTTTGAAATACTTTCATTCTTTTTTATGTGCAATATATAGCCACATTGAAGGTTAATATCGATTGAAAGCTGTTATGCAGTATATCTTCCAATGCCTCCATTTTTCTTTGATTATTGCAAAGATCAATTTATTTTCATAAACTAAAAAGGATTTCACTGATATTAATGTCTGTAATGTTCTCAAGAAAGAAGTTAATCCATTTACTGGCAAAATGTAGAATGGCAAGAGAACACTCAGGTGCCAAACATTATCATTACAATCACACTGCACGATGCTAAGAGCCAGAAGGAGGTTGACTCTCTGTGAAGTGATATATAGTTAACACCCTTCTGGCGCTCAGCAGACGATATCAGATATCAAAATAGGGGAAATTATAATTATTTGAGGACACTGAAAGGGGAAACACCATGGTGTCGGAAGCATGTAGAGGCTTCACATGACGGAAACAGGAAAACTCAGGATTAGGTGAAAATCTGTTTGGATGGGTGTCAAATTCTCCATTTAATTCAGAGGAAGTTTTTGTTTTAATGGGTAGGGTGAGAATGTGACCTATATTTTCATATTACTCATTTGTTTTTTCCTCTTGTGGATTTTTGTTCATATTCTTTAATATAATTTTTTGTGTTTTTGTGATTTTATTTACAGATTCCTTGTATCTCTTCCCTTTTCACCATATATAAGTACCGGTAGTATTAAATTTATCTTAAATTGTGTAGGTTTTTTCTTCATTTTGTTTTCCTTCTCTTTTGTCATATTATCCTTTAAAATTTCTTGCTTATTTTATTCAATACCTCCTTTTCTTTCTCCCTGTAACTTTTATATGAGGAATCTATTAAGGCGAGGATTTAAAACATGCAGTGTGCAAAGGTTTGCCTTTTCTTAGGTTAGTTGTTGATGTGTAGTGGACATACGTGTACATATAAGAGCATACCCAGGAGCATGAAATAGGTCAATTTCAAGACTCAAGTTCATTTCACTTTCTGCTGTTGATGTCTACTGGTCTCCCCATCATGCCCTCCACCATATCTCATGAATGACAGATGAGAGGAAATCTCTCTATCACTTGACCTTTAGCTACCCTCCTTCTAGTTCATCTCCTTCTTGCCCCCTACCCCACCATAAGTGCCCAAGAAAAAAAAAGGTTAATATGCCTTTTCCCCTCTCCGATTCCATGCCGTCATCGATATTTGGTATCTTGGTTAGGGGACGTCGTCAGCCTAATCAGCCAGCAGCCAGCGCAGACCCCCACCTGCTCTTCCAGTTTGGGAGAAGATGTTAACGAAAGGGTTAAGGGCTGGTCACACCTTACCGATAATGATAACGATAGACTATGTATACCTACATGTATATTTTATGTATAGATAAAGTTAACTTGAAAAGTGGTCACACCTGGAGGATAAAGTCACTTGGGTTCTGTTGATTATGCATGATGAACACTGCCAACATGAATTCTAATGAACTGACGTCACATCCAATTAGTTTAATTACAGGCTCTCGGAAATTGTTCAGGTCTGTTCTAAGAAAATTCAGTGGCTCAGCGATCCCAAACAAGGCAATTAAATCACTGAGAGGGGGGCTCATTATTATAAGTCATTGAGTTCTGATGGACAACAGTGATTTTCAATGCCTTTTACACTTGAACAAGAGGGGAATGATTTGTGAATGATCTATCATTATAGTTGAAGTTCTAGTTCTTGGTGAGGTATGACCGGTCCTTTATATAGTGCCAGGTGGTAGTGTTGTCTCTCCTGTGGGATGTAGATAAGATGTTTGGAGGGGAGGGAGATGTCAGCTACAGGGATGGATGTCCTAGCCTCCTTGTATGAGACCTGTCATTGAGACCTTGTCAGCACATTTAGAATCGATGGCTAACATTTTTTTGTGATGAGATGTACTTTTCTTCAGCTGATTTGATACTTAACCCATTTCTTCTGGAGTTCTACCATGCAGTAAAGTTTCATTTATCTGCTTTTCATGTCTTATCTACCTTTTCTGAAATACGATGGTATCCTGAATATACCTAATACTGAGAATTAATGGTTGTGTATTGATTGCTTGGTAGGGAAACAATCAATTTTAATTCAATCTAGTGAGAACTTTTACATAACCCTTAAAAATGAGGAAGAATAAAACAAATAGATCATGCACATCTTTCATGATTTATTCTACACATATAAATGTAGCAACCATTTTCTAAGCTTTTACATTTTCCCTACTGTAGGGAATGAATCATTTTAATGTTTTAATGTTTATGATATATGATAATATAAAGAAACTAAGGCCCTAGTCAAAATTTCAACCCTTTCATCACCACAATACCCTGAGTTTCTATTACTAGTAAATAAAAAAAAACAGAAAATAAAGCAGGGTTCACATGAAAAGGAGTAATACAAACTTCTGTCTTGGGGGTTAAGACTAGCAGCCATGTTCTTTCAAGATCGCTGACAGTGGATGTCGAAAATTGCTACTTTGCGTGCGCACAGCTGAGTGACAAAAGGAAACATGTTGCTCTGTATGCTTTGCATGCATTCTGAGTGATGATTGGTACAAGGTCTGGGCTTGCCCGATGGTTACCTCAAGATAAGATGTGATCCAGTGCCATGCTGTGATAGATTTTCCAATTTAAGGACTTGATGTCATCAGTGAAGTGTTTGGGTGTTTATTCACATTTTATAGCCCTTGAACCCCAATCATAATATTGAATATAATCTGCTTAATGTAGGAAAATTGATGGAAGTTTTAGAAACATTTTTTTTACAATATTGAATTTATTGTTAAGATAAGATGTGATCCAGCACCATGATGTGATAG